CTTCACATTCTTCAAAGCTTTGTGAATTTGTCCAAGTCTATTTCTGCTCCTATGATCAGTTGTAATGTATGTTAGAAGGCTCCACCTCAGTTGTACTGACTTAGTACTTCTCCAACCTGTGTGAAGATATTCTTACCTACAGTTGTTCTAGGCAGACTACTGATAAAGGCTAATTAATTCTTAAGTCACTTCAAACTCGGCACAACTCAAATATTCCACTGAGCACTATTAGGAACATCTGTTGACTTACCAAGAGTGCAAGAAAACCAGTCAGTATCATTTGCCTTGTTTTTTTAACTGACTACTGATGCTGCTACAAACATCCTCAATTCTTTATACAACTATTCTCACTGAAAGACTAATGGCCTCAAACAAGTTTATTTTCCTGGACACATTTCTTCAGCTGCTGAACCAGACATGACTCCATTACCTCACTATTGCTAAGACTTTCCTCACTTGGCTAACGAATGAGTCACTCAAAACTTACTTTGGTTAAACTCAGTTTGGTTTTTATTTTTGTGAAAAATTCTGCTGTGAAGCATTGCTGTGAAGAGATATTCTGTCTTAAATGTTCTCATTCTTCTATTTGCTGTTTACCTGTGATTTTGGAATGCTGTCCTGTGTGCTGACTTCGGAAATGACAATATATTTTGTATTATTTTAGTACAGCATGACATAATGAAATAATCCTTTGGCATTTAATTCACTAAGAAGATAATCCACATTCTATTAGGCCCTAAGAGAGTGACATTCAAAGTACAGTTTCTCATCTTTTGGCATGATGAGAGTCCATTAGTAAAAGTTAAGTAAATTGGTGTGCAGTATAGCAATGTGCCATTTACTGCGACCTGCAGTGCAATGAGCTGCTGCTGCAGACATATGAAAAAATGCACGTAGCTGGGTTCCAGTAAAACCTTACGTAGGGACAACAAACTGAATTTCACATATTATTGTTTTAGCTTTTCCATCTTTTAAGTATGTGAAAAATCATTCTTGGATCAAAATTACACAAAAAACAGGGAGTGGGACAGATCTGGCTTATAGGCCATACTTTGCTGTCATTTACACCACAGAATATGGTTTTCAGAATAACAAAATATGAAAATATGCTTTTCTACCAAAATAAGAAACAAGGTAAGGATGTCTACTCTCACCCCTTCCACCAAACACTGTACTCAGAGTCCTATACAAAGCATAAGACAAGAAAATATAACAAAAGGTACAAACATTGAGAAGGAAGAAATAAAGCTGCCTTTGTTCACAGTTGACATGGTAATCTATAAAGAAAATCCTAAAGAATTAACAACAAAAAAGCTTCTTGTAACTAACAAGCAATTTTAAGGTAAGTTACAAGATCAAAATACAAGTCAATTGCTTTCTTATATGACAGGAATAAACATTTAGAATTTCAAGTTAAAATTACAATATTTTCAAACTAGCACAAAGTGAAATATCTAGGTGTAAACAAAATATGTACACAATCTATATTAGAAAAACTACCAAAGTCTGGTGAACAAAATCAAAGATCTAAACAGACAGTGAAATTCTAAGTCCATGGCAAAGAAGACCCAATACTGTCAAGATGTCAGTTATGCCCACGTTGATCTAGAGATTCAATGCAATCCCAAGCAAAATCCCAATATTTGATAGATATATTAAAAAAAAAACCTTAATTTTAAAGTTTATGTAGACTGACAAAAAGACCCAAAAGAGAAAATACTGAAGAGAGAACAAAGTCAAAAGACTGATACTACCCTACTTCAAGATTTACTATAAAACTACAGCAAAGCATGCACTGGTGGCTCACACCTATAATCCTAGCTACTCACAAGGCAGAGATCTGGAGGAGGCAAACAATTTGCAAGAACCTATCTCAAAAACCAAATACAAAAAAAACAGGGCTAGCAGAGTGGCTCAAGTGGTACAGCATGAGCCTAGAAAGTGTGAGGCCCTGCGTTCAAGCCCCAGTACTGCCAAAAACCAAACAAATAAAAACAAAAACAACAATAACAACAAAGTCCTACAGCAATCAAGATAATGTGCTACTGGTGAAAGAGTAGACAGAAAGATCAATGGGAAGGAACAGAAGACTTATGAATGGAAGTACTTGAATGAAGAAAGCATAATCTCTTCAACAAATGGTGTTAGGAACAACTGGACATCCATATGCAACAAAAATGAATCTAGCTACAGAGGTTATATACTAAAATTAACTCTAATGGATTGGATACTTAAATGTTAAGCACAAAATTATAAAACTTCTGTAGATAACAAGAGAAAATCCGGGCTAACCTTGGGTATAGCAGTGACTTTTTAGACAATACCAAAAGCACAATTTATGAGAGAAAAATTGGTGAGTGGACTCTATTGAAATTTAAAACTTCTGCTCTTTAACAGACAATGTTAAGAGAATGAAAAGAAGTCATAGGTTAGGAAAAAACATTTGCAAAAAACATACCTGATAAAAGACTGGTATCCAAAACCAAGAACGCTTAAAACTCAACAAGAAATTTTGCTCAATTAAACCTTGCCAAAGGGGATTAATATTCAGAAAATATGCAGAACTCAAAAAAATTAAACATCATGAGAATAATTCAATTAAATGAAGAATTAACTGAACAGGCAGTTCTCAAAAGTAAAGTGAACAATAAATACATAAAAAATGTTCAACATCTTTAGCCATCAAGGAAATGCAAATCAAAACTACACTAAGATTCTATTTCACTCCAAGTCAGAATAGCTATCATCAGGAATAAAAAATCTAAGCCAAGCAGAGTGGCTCAAACCTGTAATATTAGCTACTTGGGAGGTGGAGACCAGGAGGACTATAATTCTAGGCCAGCCCAGACACTACCTGAAAAATAACTAAAGCAAAACAAATGGCTGGTTGTATGGCTCAAGTGGTAAAGCACCTGCCTAGCAAGTATGAGGTCTAAGTCCAAACCCCAGTACCATTAAAACAAACAAACAAACAAATAAAGAAAAACAAATGCTGGCAAGAATACAGGGGAAAGGGACCCTTGTATACAGCAGGTGGGAATGGAAGTTAGTCTAGTCACTGTAAATCAGTATGGAGGTTCCTCAAAACACTCAAAATGGAACTACTATAACACTTCTATGTATATGCCCAAAGATATCAACATCAGAGATATCTGCACACTCATGTTTATTAACATGGCACTTTGACAACAGCCAAATTATGGAATTAGACTAGGTGCTTGCTGACAGTTGAAAGGATAAAGAAAACATGGTACATATACACAACAGAGTATTGTTCAGCATAGAGAACAAAATTATGTCATTTGCAGAAACTGATTTGAACTGTAGATCAGCATGTTAAGTCAATAAGCCAGACTCAGAAAGATAAGTATCATATGTTGTGTCTCATAGGCACAGAATCCAGATTTTTTAAAAAAAGGACAAAGTAGAAAGGGAACTTTCTGGAACAGGAAGTAAAAAAAGAGACTAAAAAAGGGAGATGAATCTGATCAGTACATTAAGTAATATATGGAACTTTCATAATGAAATCCATTATTTTGTACAACTAATATACGCTAAAAAAAACTTTTTAAGTGGGCAAAAAATCTGAACAGCTGAGGAAAGAAAAGATTCAGGTGGCAAATAAGCATATGAGAAGATGTTCACCATCATACACCATCAGGAAGCTGAAAATTCAAACACAGATACCATTCTACGTAAGTAGCTTCCAGAGGGTCAGGATAGAGGAGGGAGGGACTTCTAAGTCCTAAAACTACTCTTTATTATAATGTAGGCTTATATTAGACATTTGTCAATCCTAATGTAAACTATGGATAATATAATAATGTGTCAATGTTAGCTTATCAGTAGTAATGAAGATATACTACCACTGCATAATGTTAATCACAAAGGAACCCTGGGGTGTGGGTATTGGTCATTCTGTACTTACATTCATTTTTGCTCTATACCAAAACTGCAAGCAATCAAAGTCTACTTTTAAAAATTATGCAACTGATTTACTTCTCCCTAGAAGCCTACATGTTAAGTGAATGTATACACTGTCAAAAAGTAATCAAATTATTTAGATGAATTTTACAAGTGTCCTTATAAAGGCCAACTAAACTATGATCGCATATAAAATATGAGAAAACAAATTATATCAAAGCACAAAAGAGGAGAGAGAAAACTGATCTTATATAACTAAAAAAGGATTCTTATATATAGTTTTAAAATCCTACATAATACTGAAATGTAAAACCAAGAGAATATTACTTGTAATACATAATGTATGGTATCAATTATATGGTCAGGTACATTACATATACTGCCTCTTTTTTTTTTTTTTAACTTCATTTAACTTTACCTCCCTAAGCATACAACAGATTCTGTGCTGGCTATATTTTGTATCATATTCAGTATTCCAGTCATCAACCTCCAAAAAAAGAATGAGTCTTTTAACCAAACTCATTGTGACTTAAAAAAACAAAAATAAATATTTGAATATCTTTCCTATACAGGTAAAATAAACAGAACCAGAAAAAATAATCTGTTCCATAAGTAAGGTTGTAAATAACCACCCATTAAAAAATACTGCTTCTTCCTGTATGATCCTTGTTTCTAATTTATTTCTATTAACTTCTCCCAACATAAGCTAGTTTCTAGAAACTACTCTTCACTGCCCAAATTATTTACTTCAATCTCTGTATTTCCACTGCATAAGAATATACTTCCTTGTAGCATTTTTCAGTGTTTCATCATTCAGTTTAAAAGGCATCACAAAGAAAGAAGGAAGGAAACCACTTTTTTTCCACCAACTGTCAATGAGTATTATGAAGGCAGAATGTTAGTCATCTTTAGTGCTTTTCACCTACTAGTTCAAACAATTATCCAGTAAGTTTTGCTGAATGAATGTATAATATATCAAATTTAGAATAGGGATCTGTTTTTACTCTCATCAAATTGAACATTATCAACTCAATGCCCTTTAAAGAGTTCTGGTATCTTATCTTCCTTTTATATACCTGGTGATTCCAATATACGAAACTTCCTGCTTGTTTTCATTGTTAACCAGCGAAAGCCCAAGACTGTGGAGAGACAAGGTTATTTCATGCTCAGGCTGTTCCATTTCTTCTGCCTGCAGTGCTTTAGAAACCAAGGCGACATCATCTGTGAAAAGAATCTCTGGCGCCCATCAAGAATGATACCAGTGTATCTGGATATTTACATCATATGGAAACTGTCACATTCATCCTGGAGAAAGAAACTTTTCATTAAACCCACACATAGTTTCTATGACTTAGAGTTGAACTATAGAAACTAGGAAATATTGGAGAAGTTTAAAACAGCATGACAATAAGCTGGAAAATTCTAACATCGACTTGACATAAATAAAACATAAATTGAATAAAACATTATCATTTGTTTTCAAATGACAACAAAGATTAAATAAGAGTCTTAATATTTTATACTTAGGTTAAGTTACTAGCTAGCAAAGGGCACTGACCTGCATGCAACAAGGCCCACTTTGGTGTACACCAATGCCATGAGGTGATTATCTGCCTCCAAAGTGGAGACAGGATGGTTCAGAGTATATTAAAAGTAACCACTGGCAAGTAACTACCCTATTTTTTATGCTTTAATAATTTATAACAGCAGTTTTTGTTAATACATTGCCAAGTAGTCAAACAATGGCAATCAGTTTACACGAATTTGACCTTCTTGTGAAGGCTTCTTTAGACTTAAAATCTAGCTTGATTTGTTGGTGTTCAGAGATTAAAATTATAAATTATTAATAAATTCCAATCCATTCTGGAAATTAACATAAAATGTACACAGTTCTTTCAACAGGCAGTAAAGTTCTTTAGAAAAAAAGAAAAAGCTTTGCTTTTGTATTGTTCAAATTTATTATTACTTTTAAGTGTATATATGGTCAAAGTAGCCTATCCAATTTTTTTCTACTCTAATATGTACTCAAGTTTTCAGAGATACCTTGTAAGAATTCCCCTTTTAAACTACAAAATGCGACATGTATCTTAGTTCAACTCAATCACTATTCTAGTATTTTCTGACTGCTTATTTTTATCTATTTGATCTGTTAAAATTAAACAAGGTATGTTAAAATATCCCCAGCCTTTTGTGTTTCAATTAACTTCCAGTTTTACATTTCGATACAATGTTATTCATTATATGAAAGTCTATGGCTATCACTTCTTTACTGTTATAATTTACTTAATGGCTGTACTTTGAATTATATAGCTGATCAGAAATTAAAATAACAACTCTACTTTTTTTTACTTCTGTTTGCCTATTATATCTTTACCAACTCTTCATGCTTAATATTTCCTTGTTAGTCAGGTTATATGACTAACTTGACTCTCCTGTAAGTAGCATACAGTCAGATAAGTATTTTTTTTTAAGAGACAGGGTCTCACTATGTTGCCCAGTCTGACCTTGAACTCCTAAGCTCAAGCAATCTTCCTGCCTTTGTCTTCCAAGTAGCTGGGACCATAGGCACATGTCACCATGTGTGGCAATAGCATTAGATACTATTTTTTAACTTAATCTGAGTGTCTTTGACTATTAGTAGGAGAATTTAAGCCATTTCATTTACTTAGATAACTGATGGGAAGTACAGCCTAGTAGGAAAAGTCTATGGACTATGAAAACTAGACACAGTGGCTTTCATTCCCATCTAACAGTATACATTCCACCATTAAGAATTAGTGACACATATATGAAAGCATCAATACATAATACCATTCAACATCATCCTCATGGATTACATATTTTCTTATATTTCCTTCTTTTGCTGTAAGAGTGAGTTTTTCTTCAGTTTTCTTGTTTGTTTTGAAATTCCTTCCTCACTGATTTCAGTTCTACTGACAACTTTTTAAAAGACAATCTAATTAAAATTCAGGAAAAGCTGGGTACAGTGGCTCATGCCTGTAATTCTAGCTACTTGGGAAGCAGGAAATGGAGAGGATGATACTTCAAGGTCAGCCCATGCAAGAAGTTTGCAAGACCCCATCTCGACCAATGGCTTGGCATGGTAGCATATGCTCGTCATCGCAGCTGTGCAGTGAAACACAAATAGAAGGATCATGATCCAAGCTGGCCAGGGCATAAAAAGTGAGACCTACCTCAAAAACAACAATGAAAAAAACTGCCAGAGTGGCTCAGTGTAATGCGTTGCACACACAACAAAACAACAACAAAGGATTAAGTGGATGTATATACTATGTTCATAATATACTGTTCACCCACTCCCCTTTCATTTTACTTTGTTGTCTTCATCTTGTATTTCCCTTTTTTCTTCCTTTTCATGGTTATCACATCTAACTTTTTTTTTTCATTTTTCTTTTATTATTCATATGTGCATACAAGGCTTGGTTCATTTCTTCCCCTGCCCCCACCCCTCCCTTACACCCACTCAACCCCTCCTCTCCCCCCTCAATACCAGCAGAAACTATTTTGCCCTTATTTTAATTTTGTTGTAGAGAGAGTATCAAGCAATAATAGGAAGGAACAGGGTTTTGCTGTTGAGATAAGGATAGCTATACAGGGCATTGACTCACATTGATTCCTGAGCGTGGGTGGTTACCTTTTAGGTTAATTCTTTTGATCAACCTTTCTCTAGTACTTGTTCCCCTTTTCCTATTGGCCTCAGTTGCTTTAAGGTATCTGCTTTAGTTTCTCTGCATTAAGGGCAACAAATGCTAGCTAGTTTTTTAGGTGTCTTACCTATCCTCACCCCTCCAGCATATATTTTAAAATTTTTGTTCTGGTAAAAAAATTTTTCAGAGGTCTATTTTCCTCTGGATCTATAAGGTAAGCTACATTTTTTTGCTTAGTATTTTTCATAAACTCAAAAATAAGAGTTTAAATGGGGAAAGATCTGAGAGGACCTACTGTTTGTTAACAATGTATGGATTCTTTTTAGACTCCTTTGTCATGTCCACCCAGGTCTGGGCAGAACCCTCTTTTCACATCAACTTACTGAGCAAGGAAATGGGTATTTTTCTGGCTTCTAGATCATTTTCAACCTGGAGACTATCTGTTAACTGAGGTAGAGCCATCACTTTCCTACTGCCTGATTCTCTAAAATCAAACAGAGAAGAAAAACATTAAAACTAATCTGTTATCAGGAATATGCTGTTTACACTGACACTCTTCTGCAATACAACACTGCTGCTTCCTCTCCAGTGTCCTCTGCTACTTATTGGGAGTTGTGGCTTGCCAAGCACTCTCAATGCAAGGACAGAGGAACACTCCCACACAGTACAGGGAGTCCTGAGAAGAACTGAACATCTGAGTCCCACAGCAGAGAGGCAGGCACTGAAGACTCTCTCTTCTACTTGTAAACTTTAGAGTCTCTCTGATATAAAAATAAAACAGAAGCAAACCAATGGAGCTCTATCAAACAACTCAGGAACCCCCTGCCATAGGAAGTATCAGTCTCAATTTTTCAAAGATTAAATTCATCTTTCTCTTTTATAGGTATCTCAAAAAAATTTAGTCACTGTTGGCTAATTACCATTTTAAGGTAAAACTCAAGAAAGCTTTTTAAATAACTGGCATTTTGGGACAATGGAATATAACACTATATGAACTATTTCATCATGGAATATCTCCTTACAGAAACTGGATGAGTACTATTAGTGCAAGAGAAATTCCTATATCTAGAGGGAGGTAGGGAAGTGAATTCTTAGTCCTCGGTCTAAGAAATAGCATTAATTAATTTAGCTACCTAAATATTAAATAAATATTTCATAAAATTTCTTATACAGAGCCAGGTGCTGGTGGGTCATTCCTGTAATCCTAGTAGCTACTTAGGAGGCTGAGATCAGGAGGATTACAATTTGAGGCCAGCATAGACCAAAAAGTTTGTAAGACCTCCTCTCAACAGAAAAAAGCTGGTTATGGTGGTGTGCACTTGTCATTCCAGCAATGACAGGAAGCATAATATAGAAGGATTGCAATCCAGGCTGGCCCAGGCAAAAAATAAGACCCAATATCTAAAATAACCAAAGAAAAAGGGCTGGAGGCATAGCTCAAGCAGTATAGTACCTACCTCACAAGTGAGAAACCTTGAATTCAAACCCCAGTGACACCAAAAAAAAGATAAATTGAAAAGTGCTTTACTAGTCTTTACTTGGACAAGATAGAACAGCCTATTTTTTAAATTATAAACTATTTTTGATCCATCAGTGGTAAGATATCAGTACAAACTATTTGCATTCTAAAGTCTGACAGTAACTTATTCTGAAAATACTTCCAACTCACTTTTAGTTCAGTAAGCAAGATGACTTAGCAAGGCTAGACTGTCTATTTCCTTACCATTAGGCAACTCATGCAACACTTATCCATATCAACTGATACCTTTAACAGGTCATGTTCCCCAACATTTGCTGCATATCTCCAGGTCAGTTTCCTGGTACTGGTAGGATCTGCCCAGGCAAAGAGTCGAGCTTTTCTTGGTAGCAATTTCACTTCCTCCTGTGACCCACTGAAACACAACAACAAAGAAAGATTAGAACTCCTTGGGCTTGAGAATCCCAGACTTATAGTTTAGTAGGATGGGGACTGACACAGAAGTCCCATGAAATTGCCTAGTTAATAAAGCACAATGCTGCCTAAAAACAGGTACCATAATATGCCCAAAAAACTAATGGTTTTGAAGGTTGGGAGATAGAATATTGGGGCATGGTATTGCTTGTAAAGCTTCAGTAAGCTGAAATGACCCAAGCAAAAACATACTACTGGACTTCATTAAGGTAAATGAATTGGTAAATCAGTGTATACCTAAAGAAATAGCTTCAGTAGCAGAAGAAATTCACTCAGTGCTTAAGTTTCAACTTTTCAATAAAATGCAATACTTAAGGTATATTATGAGTCTTGCCCAAAAAAAAAAGCAGGAGGAGTCCATACCATTCCTAATCAAAGTGTGCTCTGTGGACCGGCAGTATTACCTGGACTTGCCGAAAATACAAAGTCCTGCACCCCATTCAAAATCTATTGAATCCTAACGAGATTCCCAGATTCTAAAATTGATCACTAAAGTTTGAGAAGTACTGGTCCATATAAGATAAAAAAAAATAATCCAACTAGGTCTCAATATTGGATCTGTACTCTTAAATCTCTCACTGGATTCATACCAAGAGAGTTAAGAACAGGGAAATAACTGAAGGAACTGATACATATATATAATGATTAGCGTTAGCTCTAATCATCATCCTATCATTAGGGCTAGCCTACAAATGATCTCAAAAAGGATTAGAATGAAATGAATATGGTGCTTAGTTTAATACAAAGCAAATGATTTCGACTCATTAAATTATGAACCACTCATAAGTACCAAAATGTCCCCTATCCTAATTAACCTATTCCTAGCCTTCCTAGCATCCCTATTAGGAGCACTAATTTATCAATCACACTTAATATCCCCACTCCTATGCTTAGAGCGTATAATATTATCAATTTTTACCACCTCAACCCTAATCACCCTGAACTTCAACATCACCCTATCATTTATGTTCCCCATCATCATCCTAGTCTTCGCGCCTGCGACAGACTCCCTCTTCCACCCCTCTCTTAATGCCTAACAAGCCTGATTACTACCACTAAATTATAGCCAGTCAACAACACATGAACAAAGAACCAGTAGAACGAAAAAAAATGTGTATTACTATACTTAGTACTAACAAGTCCTATTTAATTATAATATTTTACATCAACAGAAACTTAATCTTTATTTTAACATCTTATTTGAAGCCACACTAATTCCTTACACTTAATTATTAACCAAAACAGAACGACTTAACACAGGCTATATTTCTTTATTCTACACACTTAATTGGATCCCTACCCCTTTTGTTGCATTAATCTACCTACAAAATCGTAGGATCCCTAAACCTTCACATCTAAACAATCTACTCAGAGCCAACTAAAACCTTATCATTGATCAAAATTGACTGCTCTTGACTAGCATGTATTAGTGCATTTATAGTTAAAATACCATTATTATGACTCAACCTGTGAACTTACCTAAAGCCCATTGCTGAAGCCACCATTGCCGGCCCCATAGTACCAGCAGCTGGCTGTCAGCTGTTCTAACTAAAACTAGGAGGATATGTATAATTACGAATCACCTCCTTTATCACCCCATCACAAACCACCACAATTTATACCCCCATTTATTACTACTTTCTCACTAGAGGGCATAGTAATGGACCAGCTCAATTTTGTTTATGGACAGACGGACCTTAAAAAAATTCTCTAAATGCCATATTCATCAGTCAGCCACATTAGCCTTAGTTAATCGTTCGCCATCTTAATTCCAATCCCTATGAAGCTTTATAGGAGCTACAGCACTAATAGTAGCCCTGTGTCTAACCTCATCAGTCCTATTCTGCCTAGGCAAACACAAACTACGAACGAGTACATAGCCGAAACCATATTCCTAACTCGAGGCTACAAACAATACTCCACTAACGCCCTATGATTGACTTACAGCAGCTTAACCAACCTCGCACTACCCCAACAATTAACCTAATGGGAGAACTATAATCATTCACCTTCTTCATTTATGATCCAACTTCACCATCCTCCTTTATAGAACTAACACCAACTAATCAACGCCTTTATATACCCTATATATACTAACCACAACTCAACGAGGCAAACCTACCTATCACATAAATAACATTCACCCATCATTCACACGAGAAAACTCCTTAGTCTTCCTCCACCTACTCCCCCAACTCCTACTATCTTTAAATCCAAAGATCATTCTCGGCACAATATTCTGTAAATATAGTTTAACAAAAATACTAGATTGTGAATCTGATTCTAGATTCACACATTATATATTTTAAGGACTTAAAACTATTTGTTATAATTAAATCACAGGTATCCAAATAACAGCATGCACGAGGACAAGAATAACAAAAATTCCTATCACCCTGTTCTAAAAATTCAGTATCACCCTCTACCCACTGTGCTTTTATTAACCTTTGCTACCCCTAATCATAAACTAGATGTGAATTTGTAGAACAAGCTTCACTGAGGTTACCAGGATTAAAAAGAAGATAATGCTTAATCAAGTTTATGGTCTTTTGTTTGCTATTCTGAAATAAGTTGAAAAGCTCCAAAAGCCCAAAGACTTTTCTACAAGTTTATTGTTGAGTCACTAGGCAGTAAAACCTGATTTGCACTGACCTGAGGCTATTAATAGTCTCTGTTTGCTCCACTTGGTATGAACATCCATTAGTTTTGCTGCAGAAATATTAATGTGTATTAACAAAGTACTACTGCAAGACTAGCCCAGGGAATTAGTTATACGCAGAACATGCTCCACATTACCTTTCTAAAATCTAAAACCTAAAAACATTTGGTATGTGAAACCCACATGTTTTCCAGAAGGGACTGTGGACCAAGAAAAATAAATCAGAAAAACATTTAGGTTCAGTGGCACATGCCTACAATCCCAGCTACTTGGGAGGTAGAGGCAGGAAAACAGAAAATTTGAGGTCAGCTGGGTTAAAGGTTACTGAGACTCTAGCTCAAAAACCAAAGAGTGAGGCCTTCAATTCAAGAGCAAGGAACTGGATTCATCCCAGTATCAATTTAAAAAAATAAAAAAATCAGAGTTTGCATTAACCCATTTTTTTCATACCTCTGTTTACATGTGAGAATGTCCCATGGTGTATGGTTTATTACCAGGGCAGGTGCAGATCCCTCATGGTAATCAGAAAAAGTTATGACAGTTGAGTGCTCGGCAGTGTTTACATCTACCAAGATACCTCCATTCTGTTGTAGAAAAAAAAGCATGTTAATCAGTTTGTAAATACAAAAGCTTTGTTTTCTAAAGTGCTTACAAAAAAGCAAACTGTCTCCAATTCCTTGCAAACATATGTATGTTGTTATATATTCATGCACCAATGTCTTCAAACAATCACCAGTAGGTTTCTATAGCATGGTTTAATAAACTATTTAAAATAAACTTAAAAGTCAAAGACATTGTATTTTAAAAGATAAAAACTTACCAGATCTTCTAAACTCAACAAAGTGCCATTGTCCTGTCGGTTATAAAAGAATGGTTTGGAAGATCTTTCACAGCCTACCACTCTCACACAAAGTTTCCCTGACAAATTTTCAGGCCAAAATGGAAGACACTAAAAATATAAAAGTTATTATTAGTCTTAAAACACTGTCAACTCTGTATCTCATCTTGATTAAATTATCATTGTATCTTTTAATGTTCATTCCATATCTCAGAGTAAAACTACTGACAAGCTGGGTGTGGTGGTACATATCTGTAATCTTAGCACTTGGAGGCTAAGGCCAAAAGATGTCAGTTTGAGGCCAGCCTGGGTTACATTTTTTAAAAACAAATTGATAATATAGTAACTACTTATGAAACCAAAGACACTTTATCAGAAGAATACAGATATACTAATGTATTATGATAGAATTACAATATGAGAAAATAAAGAACCTCTAGACTAAGAATGCTTTAAATATCTTGAATATTTAAAAACTATAATCTTAATAACATTTGCTTGTGTGCATATTCTATTTTACCTCATTAATGAATGAAGAGTTCTTTCACAATCTCTTATCCTAGATATGTCAGAGAGACAACTGAAGGCACAGGACTGATACCACAGACCTTGCCCCAAGTCCTGACATCGCCTTTCTGGGTGTCTGACCCTGATCAAACTATATTCTTTGAGTCTCAGTTTCTTTATCTATGAAGCTGGGGGGGTTCCGTTTCTAATACAAAATGTCCTGCTGTTATAGAATACTGGGTAAGTTCTATTTCTGAATAAAATGCTATTGTTGGCAAACCCACATCAAAGATGAAAAAAAAAGATAAATATTTATTTGTTACCAAAACAGAAATCACTCTAAATGCCTTGAAAAGACCATGCCCCTTAGAACTCTGTATAATTGGGATCTCTCCTTTCTTTTGAGCATTCTACTATTTTTAAAAATAAGATTAGAATCTTTTTTTTCTTTTTGAGCTGTCCTGAAGAATGGAAGAATGATTTCTAGCTATCATGAAGGTCAGCTGGTTTGGTTGCAAAACTCAAGTCAGGTGAAATTACTTATTCTTTTTCCTTTATTGTTGTGAAGGGTGGGAGTACATTGTGGCATTTACACAGGTTCCTTCAATGTATCAAATATATCACACATGAAGTCACCTCCTCAACCATTCTCCTTCATTTCCCTCTCCCAATTTCTGGAGTAGTTCACAACAGGTATCATTTTTGCATTTGCAAACATGTGTACACATTTTATTGCACTGATTCACCTTCCTACCCACTTTCCATAACACCTCCCCCCAATCCACTGGCACCAGCCCTCCCTACTTGGCAGGGCTTGGTCCACCCTTTTGTTCTCCAATTTTGTAGGAGAAAAAAGAGAAAACAAAAAACATGACATTTTAGCATGAGATAGTTAGCCACACAGGGAGTTTCCCTGTGATATTTCCATGTATATATACATTAGAATCTCAACCGGTTTATCTCCTCTAATTTTCTTCATTCTACTTTAGTCCCTTTCTTATGGTAGTTTCAGTCAGTTTAAGATTTCTATATTCATTCTTGTATAGTAAGTATATCAACCCTATTCAAAGTTTTAGTTTTCCTACTCCTCTCATGCTGACCTCCCTTTAGTGTGACCAGTGTTTCATAATATTGCTACATTTGTGTTAGGTCTATAATCCACAAATGAGCGAGAACATGTGGCTTTTAGTCTTCTGAGCCTGGCTAACTTCACTTAAGGTGATGGTCTCCAGTTCCATCCATTTACCAACGAATGACAAATTTCATTCTTCTTCGTGGCTGAGAGTAAAATAAAATTCTTACACCTTGCCTCTTCCCTCATTCTCTCTTAATTTCTTCACCTCTCCAAATCTTAATGAACCTACACAGTTTAGTTCAAATCCAACCTTTCCTATGAAACTTGACCTTTTTGATCTTAATATCAGACCCCAAACTCTTTTTTTTTTTTTCATTTTTCTTTTATTATTCATATGTGCATACAAGGCTTGGTTTATTTCTCCCCCCTGCCCCCACCCCCTCCCTTACCACCCACTCCACCCCCTCCCACTCCCCCCCTCAATACCCAGCAGAAACTATTTTGCCCTTATCTCTAATTTTGTTGTAGAGAGAGTATAAGCAATAATAGGAAGGAACAAGGGGTTTTGCTGGTTGAGATAAGGATAGCTATACAGGGCATTGACTCACATTGATTTCCTGTGCGTGGGTGTTACCTTCTAGGTTAATTCTTTTTAATCTAACCTTTTCTGTAGTTCCTGGTCCCCTTTTCCTATTGGCCTCAGTTGCTTTAAGGTATCTGCTTTAGTTTCTCTGCATTAAGGGCAACAAATGCTAGCTAGTTTTTTAGGTGTCTTACCTATCCTCACCCCTCCCTTGTGTGCTCTCGCTTTTATCATGTGCTCATAGTCCAATCCCCTTGTTGTGTTTGCCCTTGATCTAATGTCCACATATGAGGGAGAACATACGATTTTTGGTCTTTTGGCCAGGCTAACCTCACTCAGAATGATGTTCTCCAATTCCATCCATTTACCAGCGAATGATAACATTTCGTTCTTCTTCATGGCTGCATAAAATTCCATTGTGTATAGATACCACATTTTCTTAATCCATTCGTCAGTGCTGGGCATCTTGGCTGTTTCCATAACTTGGCTATTGTGAATAGTGCCGCAATAAACATGGATGTGCAGGTGCCTCTGGAGTAACAGTCTTTTGGGTATATCCCAAGAGTGGTATTGCTGGATCAAATGGTAGATCGATGTCCAGCTTTTTAAGTAGCCTCCAAATTTTTTTCCAGAGTGGTTGTACTAGTCTACATTCCCCAACAGTGTAAGAGGGTTCCTTTTTCCCCGCATCCTCGCCAACACCTGTTGTTGGTGGTGTTGCGATTGATGGCTATTCTAACAGGGGTGAGGTGAATCTTAGTGTGGTTTTAATTTGCATTTCCTTTATTGCTAGAGATGGTGAGCATTTTTTCATGTGTTTTCTGGCCATTTGAATTTCTTCTTTTGAGAAAGTTCTGTTTAGTTCACATGCCCATTTCTTTATTGGTTCATTAGTTTTGGGAGAATTTAGTTTTTAAGTTCCCTGTATATTCTGGTTATCAGTCCTTTGTCTGATGTGATACTTGCAACTTATCTTTGACAAAGGAGCTAAAAATATACGATGGAGAAATAGCAGCCTCTTCAACAAAAAACTGCTGGGAAACTGGTTAGCAGTCTGCAAAAAACTGAAACTAGATCCATGTATATCACCCTATACCAAGATTAACTCAAAATGGATCAAGGATCTTAATATCAGACCCCAAACTCTTAAGTTGATACAAGAAAGAGTAGGAAATACTCTGGAGTTAGTAGGTATAGGTAAAACTTTCTCAATGAAACCCCAGCACACAGCAACTAAGAGATAGCATAGATAAATGGGACCTCATAAACTAAAAAGCTTCTGTTCATCAAAAGAAATGGTCTCTAAACTGAAGAGAACACCCACAGAGTGGGAGAAAATATTTGCCAACTATACATCAGACAAAGGACTGATAACCAAATATACAGGGAACTTAAAAAACTAAATTCTCCCAAAACTAATGAACCAATAAAAAATGGGCAAGTGAACTAAACAGAACTTTCTCAAAAGAAGAAATTCAAATGGCCAGAAAACACATGAAAAAATGCTGCACCATCTCTAGCAATAAAGGAAATGCAAATTAAAACCACACTAAGATTCCACCTCACCTGTTAGAATAGCCATCATCAGCAACACCACCAACAACAGGTGTTGGCGAGGATGCGGGGAAAAAGGAACCCTCTTACACTGTTGGTGGGAATGTAACTAGTACAACCACTCTGGAAAAAAATTTGGAGGCTACTTAAAAAGCTGGACATCGATCTACCATTTGATCCAGCAATACCACTCTTGGGGATATACCCAAAAGACTGTTACTCCAGAGGTACCTGCACATCCATGTTTATTGCGGCACTATTCACAATAGCCAAGTTATGGAAACAGCCAAGATGCCCCAGCACTGACGAATGGATTAAGAAAAATGTGGTATCTATATACGATGGAATTTTATGCAGCCATGAAGAAGAACGAAATGTTATCATTCGCTGGTAAATGGATGGAATTGGAGAACATCATTCTGAGTGAGGTTAGCCTGGCCTAAAAGACCAAAAAATCATATGTTCTCCCTCATATGTGGACATTAGATCAAGGGCAAACACAACAAGGGTATTGGACTATGAGCACATGACAAAGGCGAGAGCACACAAGGGAGGGGTGAGGATAGGTAAGACACCTAAAAAACTAGCTAGCATTTGTTGCCCTTAACGCAGAGAAACTAAAGCAGATACCTTAAAGCAACTGAGGCCAATAGGAAAAGGGGAACAGGTACTAGAGAAAAGGTTAGATCAAGAAGAATTAACCTAGAAGGTAACACCCACGCATAGGAAATCAATGTGAGTCAATGCCCTGTATAGCTATCCTTATCTCAACCAGCAAAACCCCTTGTTCCTTCCTGTTATTGCTTATACTCTCTCTACAACAAAATTAGAAATAAGGGCAAAATAGTTTCTGCTGGGTATTGCGGGGGGGGGGGAGGGGGCAGAGTGGGTTGTAAGGGAGGGGGTGGGGGCAGGGGGGAGAAATGAACCAAGCCTTGTATGCACATATGAATAATAAAAGAAAAAAAAGAAACTTGACCTTTTTATGTAGACCACCAATGTCCACCAAATCCGCTATCATGGCCTTACCCAGGAAAAGTCTGAACCTCAATTTCCTTTTCTGAAAAGTAACAGAGTTGAATTCTAGCTAATTTTCAAGAGAATTTTCAGCTCACCTGTTCAGGAATTCTATAATAACCTGTAACTTATTATACTATCATTTTTTCCCCATGGGTTACTTTATAGGCATCTCAGGCCCTGCCAACAAGATTATAGTTTCTTGAGTATAGAAAAATTATCTAGACAATTCAGACAATACATAGTATATTATGTCTATGGACTTTTCATGGTACATATTCACACTTTAACTGGACAAAGACTGCTAGCCACGCAGACTGAGCTAGTGATAAAATCATTAATAATCTTTCTCTTTTTAAAGTTTTTCCAAGCTATTAACACAAAAGTATTAAGTATGACAGAGTGACAACAAATATGTTCATATTTACTTGCATAACTTAGAAATCCAGTATGTTAAAGGGAAATTTTACCTCTGAAGAAGCAACATAATTCCACTTGTTGGTTGGCATTGAGCCATCAGATGCAATCTCCCCAACTTCTAGTTCAAAAGATGACTTGTTGACAATGGTACAAAAGGGAGTCAGAGTGACTATTCGTGAGAGATTAAAACTGCTCATTTTGATGCTAACACCAACCTGTAGGAAAGAAGCAAGCTTATTTCCCATCACTTTAATCTCTATGATATATACATATACTCCCTCATTCACAGAGAGATCTTAAAATATATTAAAATAAGAATTGTTAAGTACAGTAACAAATACATGTTATATTCCACTACTGATTATCTTCTCACATAAAAGAAAATTTTTGGTTCCTTAGTTTGGCTCCATCAGAAACCAATTCAAGAATATCAATCAGTAATTTAATGACAACTTGCAATGGCAGATTCAATCTGGCAAGTACTTTTTGTTTTTTTTTTTTTAATATTCCAAACATAAATTGCTTTTTAATTAGTGGACAGACTCAAATTTTGAAGCAGTAAAATATGTCAGATGGCATCAGATTATTCAAATTTTCATACTAGTCAAAATTTAAGATTTAAGCAATGTTTGACCGGGTAGATACGGAATGAAGATTCTGGTATGTGTGAATATTTACGACGTTACTCTTTAGGTGGATTCAACTCATTGTTTAAATTTGGCAAACTCAAGTTTTGCTGGTTAGTAACAGTGGTCTTAGAAATCTGTAGGTAGCACTCCACATAATAATTTTATTTCAAATTTCTGTAAACTTTAAGAGTCAGACTGCTTACTGAATTGTAAAACAAGGTGAATGGAGTTCAAATATAATTAAGCAAGGAGACTTACCAGATATTCCATATTGCTGGCAGGACACTTGACACAGCCATAACTTCCCACTGTATCCAATGAGAAACTACTGGACCAGGCACTAGTTGAAATTTTTAATTGTACCTATACCAGAGAACACATACTATCATATAAGAAACCTAAAAGATGATATTAACTTTATTTGATGGGAACTTGCTAGACTTGGAAATTTGCTTAGAATCATGAGACATAGAAAAATATAATCAATCCTATTGCAAATGAAAAACAGAACCACAGGAAACTCTAGGGGACAAAATAACAAAAATATAGCTCTGACCTTCCCATTCACCTGAGTAGAGTGCAGATGTATACCAGTGAGGCCTTGTGTTGTTTTTAGAAAGAACTGCAATGTAATTGCAAGGCAGTGTTACAGTTATGAAATGCAGCTGTATTTAGCAATACAGAGTTGCTCTCTTTAACATTATTCAGCAGGCACTAAGTAAAGTGTCTTCTGAAAGGCAGAATGGATGATAGTAGGACAAAGTTCCTGTCTTCAGACTAAACTTCTTATTTAGTTCAACAAGAATTGAACTAAACAGAGAGAACAGGACCTACTATTACTAATTATGACACAAGCCAAAAAGAGGTACAAAATGAGAGGACACTGGTTTACTTATGGCTCTGGGATTACGATAAAGTTTTTCAGAAGAGACATACATGTGTACCCATATTAATTTCACCACTATTCACCTAATTAGATTATAGAAGACATGAGATAAGCAGAGGTGAGACACATAAACTGGGAATTACAATACCATATGTTAATCAACAATACAATAGTGGCTCTCAAAGTGGTATCCACACCACCAGTACAAGCATCACCAGATAACCTCTTAGGGATACTGATTCTCAGGTCCTATCCAGAACTACTAAATCAAACTCTGGGAGAGGACTCAGAAAACAGTTTTAAAAGCCCTTGATTCTAATGTACATTACTCTAGGAGAATATGAAAGATGTCTAGACTCATTTTAAATGATCAGAAAATCTTCACATAAATTAGGCCTGAGCAGAATGCAAAAGGATGAACATCCAATAACCAGGAAAGATGAGGGAAACAGGGAGTGGAGGAACTGGCAGACTGGACAGAGGATACAGCATATACAAAAACCTAGAGGTAAGAACTTGGGAAAGCATGCAGTGAGTGAGAAATACAGACATGAGTCTGAAGAGGAAAGAAGGGACCAATAAATGAAGGATCAGGCTTCTCTTCAAAGACTGGCTAAGTGCTTCATGCACAGCAAGGCTCAACTAATATAAGCCAAATAAGTGCTGCATATTCAGACAAGCCACAGGAGTTCAAGAGCCCTGGAGAAATGACAACTCAGTCCCAGGAAGCTGCTGCTGCTAGTTCCTAATATCCCATTTGATTTTGCATTCCTGAATGTCTCTTTGGACCTAACTCGTGCCAATGACACTTAGTAAATAGGTAAGCATGGGCTTAGATTCCAAAGTTTCTAAAATTAGAAATTTGCCTGTTTTACCTTGTTATATGAACAAACCATACCTTATTTTTACTAAAAATGTTCTTCTTCTTAAAAGAGAATAAAATGATATCCCTAAAATCAGCTGGATGTTTCACATGAGTTTCTTCTGAACGATACTGGAGAACCCGAGAAGTTTTGTTGATTAACCAGTAGGGACTAAAGACAGACAGCACCATTCGGCTGCCAATTCTCCTGACATGTATTGATAGGTCAACTGTCATCACTTCTGCTGAGTCAGAAGAAAAACACACAAGAAAAAATTCAGGAAGTGTATCACATATGCGGAAATGTCCATTCCAGTTCTTGCCCAGGTATTTCACCAGGACCAATTCCATGATTTCTCCACTGATTCGTGACTGCAGAACATCAGCAGCACTGCCTTCGGCTAGCTCATAAGTTTCAGCTGTTCCCTAAAAGCACACAAAAACCAAGTTTGTTTTTTCTTAATTTAACAATTTTTAAAAACAGGTGAAAAGAAAAATCTGTTTTTTGTGCTAACTAACCTACCAGAGTCTAACCAGCCAATTCTAGCCAGGTTTGGACTTAGGAGTAAACACTACACCAGCGCCACAGGCAGGATGTCTTTTGGCCATTTGGAGGACAACAGTCAGAAGTTATATCAAGAATCAAAGACTGGATTAAAGAGCCCCATCTGTTGTCCATTAGCGCTGTGTCACTAATGAGCCACTTAACCACCTGCACTTCCAGTTCATACTCTATTCACATACGGCTCATGGTTCTCACTGAGTGGATTAAAGAAAGGGATGTCAAGCTATTCTGACAAGCTATCGAAGAAAAGTAGAATTATTTTTTAAATGAGTAATAGGAAACATATAAATCAGGCTTCCTTACAGAAATCTTCTTTTATATAAATACTATTTAATTCATTTAATTAATTTTTGACTCCATGACCCAGTAATGGTTCATTGTCAAATAAAGAAGAGAAATAATTTAGATTCCAAACACTTTTAGGACTTATGTGTTTTAAAATAACTCACTACAAGAAAATGTTTCTTATTATTTCTTAAGACATATAATAATTATTTTTATATTCAATAGGACCTTTGACCAAATAATCATAATATTAATTTTAAAATAAAAACTGTAAGATGAAATACTTTCCTCCCTTTTAGACAATGGAATTTCTTAATTTATGGCAGACACAGCATGGAAAAGTGGTAGGAATCAAGGAGCCGAACTGCCTTGATTTAAATCTCAGCTGCACCACTGAGTAGCTGTGGGACCTGGAGCCAGTTACTTAATCCCTTTGGGACTCAGTTCCCTCATCAGTAAAATGGGTCCAAGAACAGTACCTACTGCAGAACCCTACTTTAAAGATAAACACGTTAATATACATACAGCACACAGTAGAGAGCCTGACATGCAATCAGTGCTATGCCAGCTCTAGCTTTGAGTAACACTATTCAAGCAGTGCAAGTATACTACATAAAACACTGACTTTTAACTAAAAACACCATCAAACAAAACTAAAAGTCACATTGTACAATAGTAAGAGTCAAACAAAATGCAGGAGACATACTTCAAGTAAGTATCTTAGAGAATATGGGAGAAGATTCCTCAAAGTGAGAGAAGGGTAAAGATGAATAATGTAGGCTGGATCCCAGTCTTCACCCCGGGCACTTATATAGCTTAACTCATCAGGCAGAGCAACCGTATTCACTATGAGTGGCAAGAAGTTGACTTCTGTGGAAGGACACTGCAATATTCCTCTCACTTCCCTGCTCCTGTGAAGTTCTTCTTTCCAGGAAATGTAAGTGGTGGACTGTTTGTACTGATGTTCTAGGATTCCAGCTGGCTGAACAAACAATTGACATCTGCAGAAAAAAGGAACCAGAATGGAGGGAAAGTTTAGACTAAGAACATAAGAAGAACTTCACTAAATATTCTTGATAACTACAAAGTAGGGCTACTCTTGCTATTTTTACAAAAGAGGAAACCATGGCCAAGAATGGTTAAAAACTTGCCCAAAGTCATAGCTAACTCACAGAGCAACTTGTTGGGGGAAAAAAGAAAAAAAAAACTGCAAACAAAAACAATTAAAAATTTTTTTGCTGGGCACTGGTGGCTCATGCCTGTAATCCTAATTACTTAGGAGGAAGACATCAGGAAGGTCAATAGTTTGTGAGACCCTATCTCGAAAAAAACCCTTCATAAAAAAGGGCTAGTGGAGTGGGTCAGAGTGTAGGCCCTGAGTTCAAACCCTGGTACTGAAAAAAAAATTCATTTCAAATAACCACCTAATAAATATACATCTTTTATATCAAATATAAAAATTTTCAGCTGGCAAGTTCAAAGATAATATAAATGTATTTCTCTATAGGAAAATAAACTATAAATGTCCTAAAAGTGGCTTTTATAAATCATTAAATAAAAATATGAGGTTATTTTTCCAGAGTATAGACTCCCCAATTCATAAAACTAAAAATAATATACAAAAAAATAAATGAGTAAAAAATAATATACATTATGAATTTTTAACAATTTATTATAATCATCATATATTAATTGTACTAATTAATGGGACGCACTGTGATATTTCCATACATCCCTTTCCCCGCTTTCCCTGCCCCCGTACTCTTCCCAGTCCTTCTTAATCTGTTCTCCCTGTCCCCTACCCCATCTCTAGTGACCACTGTTCCCTTACATGGCTTAATAAATTCAAAGAAGGATCTACCTGTATGAATCTAAAGGGACATGGAACTCCTCTTCAGGTCTGGCTATTCCAATGCGCTCCAACAGCTTAACATTCTTAACAAACTTATAGATGATAAATGCAATAGAGAAATGGTTTTTAATCTGTTTGACAAAAAGACATACAAATGTTTTAAAAGGATATATAAGTTAAAAAGAAAATAGCTGCACACAATTACTTTAAATCTAAAAAGCTTCTCAAACTCAATACTAGAAGGTATTTCTATTAACAACTGAAAATGTTTAGAATATTTAAGGATTTCATAAATATACATATAATTTTTTAACTTGATGTTTAAGTAACAGTTGAAAGTTATTATGATAGTAATTCTATATATAATGTGCTTATGTTTATCATAAGTCTACATAGTATCTTTCAAATATGTATTGTTCTTAAAGATTTCAGCCATTTTTTTCTCCATTACAACCTTTGATCAGTAAACCATATGACTGAACAGAAAAAAAGTGAAAGACTATAGTATGCAATATGCTGGAGCTAATCACAAAGTAAGAGATAGCCATGTCTAAAACTTGAAATATTCTAATTTGTTAGCTGATATAAGAAAAAAGGTCCTTTTGCTATTCACATATTGACATATGCTAAAACCTTTAATAATATACAGAAAAATTAAAATGTTTGATAAAACTTTAAATGAAGAAAAATTATTTATACAAATTAAAATGGTAAAAATTTTTTTAGGAGAGTAGATCATTCCAACATTCCTTCAAACACATTTGAACAATAAATCCCAAGTACAAAGAGAAGGGCATGCTATCCTATTTGACAGTCAACTATAATATCTTAGTTCTGAATCTTTAAGGAATAAGCCAAAGGAAAAAAAAAGCTCATTAGAGGTAACAAAAATGGGCTTTAAATGTACAAAACTATTTTATCAGACATTTAAAATAAAGAAGATTACAAAAGCAAGTTGAGGAACAGAAGCTGCTTGAGTTTAGTATTTACTAATGATTTATCAGCACTAACTAACTTAATGATGTTTTACTGTATCCCAACTCCTGACATACTACAAGAAACACAATTCCCCATCAAGAGCTACCTTACCTGCAGAGGAGAGCGGAGGGTAATTACTTTGTTGCCTTCAGTTGCATCAATCTGTACCAAGACTGAATCAGAATGACTGGCCTTGGGATTCCACACATTATACAATCGCCGTCCAGGTCTGGCAACAGGGATATTTGCAACTTCTGTATACCCATGTGGTACTAAGACAGTAAGTAAATAAAATGCCAAATTCTTATTTATCAATATGTCTATCAAGATAATCATCAGTACCTCAAAATAATATACAAGGGTATTTTCCTTATGACTAGAAATAATCATTACAAAATGCTTTTCTAAGATACAAGGATTTTATAAGAGAATCCTTGCATCTTGGGGGATTTTACAAGAGAATCCTCGGTGGGGGGAGTTGAGTATATTAAAACAAACAAAATCCAACCTATTTCTTATTATTTCAATATGGAGTAAGACAAGCTCCTTTTCTTTGCAATAGTAATCAGTATTTTAGGGGATTCTGAATATTGTAATTATCTCTTCTCACAAAATTCTCATCCTTTTTGAGGAATGCTACATATTGCAATATTTAGGGACATAGAAACAATCTAGTTCAGTAAGGTTCTCTGACCTATAATCAAGTTTAATCATTTCAAGTTTAGAGGAAAACAAGAGATGAATTTATTAGTTATTTATTCTAACTCTTTAAAAATGTAGTCTCCCAACATATCTATAGCAAAATTTATTTTAATATTTTAAAATCAGCCCAAAATAACAATTCCTAAAGGATGGGCATAGCGACTCACACTTATAGTCATAGATATCTGAGAGGCAGAGATCAGAAAGATGGTGGTTCAAAGCCAACCCAGGTAAAAAGTTAGCAAGACCTCCCATCTAAACCAATAGCTGGGATGTGGTGGTGATCACCTGTTGTTTCAGCTATGTGGGAAACATAAATAAAAGGACTGCCATCCAGGCCAGCCCTGGCAAAAAACGTAAGACTCTATCTCAAAAATAATTATAGCAAAAAGGGCTGGGGGCATGGCTCAAGTAGTAGAGTGCCTGCCTAGCAAATGTGAAGTCCCGAGTTCAGTTCCCAGTACCACTATCAGAAGAAAAAAAAACCTTCTGAGATGCAATACCTAAGATGTCTTTAAAATAAAATTATCATACCAAAGGTAAAAGTGAAGGAGGAGCTTTCTTGTCGGCTCAATACAGACAGTTTCCCGTGCCGTGAGGGCTCCACACTAGCATATTCCAACTCCAAATTCTGGCCAGCATTCACATCATAAACATCACTTTTCTCAGGGGAGCTCATTACCCTGAGATTAGAGTTGGGCTGTATCTTAATGGGAACACCTATTGCATTTTTTACTGTAAAAGGAGCTCTGTCTTTTAAAGAGTAGTCGAAAGTAGAAGCAGCACCCTCTGAAAAGCCCTGCAAAGAAGCATATCATTACATTTCTGCAAAGTGTACATTTCTTCCAGACACTTTACCATGACTATATATTTTTGAAACTCATTTTCATGATGCAAAAAACATCTATACATTTCATTCTTAAATTTCACTTGAGATATTCCAAAGAAGAATCAAACATACTTTTGCTAAATTATTGAAAACATTAAGACAACTTTTGGATATTGTTATATTCATCGTATCTCCTGAAGAAATATGAATTGCCACTTTTGGCTCAGGAATAAAATCATCTCCTGGCATCAAACTTTTATCTTGGGTTGGGTTCTTCTTCACCTATGAAGATAAATAACACAGCAAATTTAATTTATCAATCAAGCAATAATAAAATCTAAAATGCAATAGTGTTGAATTCTCTAAAACTGGTTTTTCTACATCAAGGCTCCTCAAAAGTCTCATTTTCAAAAGTATTCAGAGCTTCCCTTTTATTTAATGCAGATTAGCAATCTTTCTTTCAGTAAATAGTCCATACATAGGGAAATGCATAGAATTATGCCATGAAAGCACTGAAAGATAGCGATAATATTTGTCTCCTGTGCAACTTCAAAATACTACTAGCTATTCAGTGTTGTGTATCTGATGGTTATAAGTTCATTAGCAATCTAAGGTGACCCTGAAGTCTAAGTTGATCCTTACTGGAGGCATTATCTGGAAATAACACGTTTCCTTCCTTCTGCTTTTAACCAGTATCACCTATAAATAATACAGTAAGCTTTCAACCAGCCATCGGATTCAATATGGTACAATATTACATTCAGGCTTTTGTTCTAACTGTAATTAAAAGCCTTATAAACTACTGTTGTGTTAACCTCTGTATGCAAGGGAGAGGTAGAAATATTTCTACCTCATTTAGAGAACACTGGGACACAGTTAAGTTGAATTCCTACTTTTAACTGTTACCTCAATTTCATTGTGCTCTGGAGAGGTGTGCTGTAACAATCTTATATAGCTCTCATTCTGGATAATCTAGAAAAATACATTTTGATATCTAACACTCTAAAGTGCTCACAAGAAATACCATAAAGAGATGAGAAGATAGTTTATAAAGTAATAATTTTCAGATTTTTTTGGTCTCTCTCTTAAAAATCACTCAGTATCAAACTCCATTATGTGAGTTACATCTACCAATATGAACTGTTAGAAATGAACCCTGAAATTTTTAATATTCATGTAAAAGTAAGATATGTTAATATAAAGGGCATTTTAGTGAAAAATAACTAGAAAACATAGTGAGAAGAGAAGCATTTATACATCTCTCTAGTGCCTAACTTGAGAGAAGACAGATGAATTCTCATTTCTCCTCCACATTCAATCTGTTGCAGTATCAAAAGTCACATGGTTTCTTGAAAACTCCATTGGACATTCGTAAGAGAACGAGAATACAATTAATACATATAAAGTCTCAGTACCAGCATGAAAAGGGCTATTCAACCACATGGACCCCTGAAAGCTCTTCAAGGATCCTGGGCCACATCTTGAGAATCATTAAGCTAAAAAATATTAATAAAAGTACAAAGAGTCATTCTGTACAAAGACACTTTATGCTTTCCTTACATTAAGCCTTAAATTCCATTGTCGCTTCCCCTCTACTCTCTCAATCAATGGCTCCCAGACAGCGTGGATCTCATTGTAATAGTGAACCTGAAAGACCACACAATTACATTAAGTCAAATTACATAATTCTGTAACCAGTAGAAAAAAAATTAGGTAACTAGTGTTATGTCAACAGTCATTTTTAAAAATTACCTGAAGACCTAAAAAAAAAAAAAAAATTATATAGCATATTTCTTGTTATTCTCTAACTTTATTACCATCAATTTAGCAAAACTCAACATAATTATTCACTAACAAATTAAAAGTCAGAATATATTATCTATTCACATATAGCCTTACTATAGCCATGCATAAGCAACAAAAAGTTCCTATCTTAATTCTGGAGCTGTACTTTAAAGAAGTTGGCTCTGGCAGCACTAAGTGATGTGGTCATACCTGTAGTGTCATGTCAGCAGCAGCAGACATTAGGGAAGTCCAATTTTTAATATTTCCTGAAAACTTAGATTCTGCTAATAATAAAGGCACAGTCCGATGCCCGAGGCCACACTCTAAGGTAACCTGAACTGTCTCCACAGAAACAGCACAATTTTCTTCTATCAAGGGATGTTTTACGTCTCTGAAATGCTCTGTTATTTCTGTTGCCATGTCAACACCAAGAAACCATGAGTTGTAATCATTAATAGATTTGACACCCCAAAGATTTTCCATTTCCTTAGACGTGTCTTTCAATTCATCTTCTTTTGTCTTTGGTGACATAGCAGCCATAATTGTCAGCACGGTATTAAGAATAATGGGTGAAATCTTTAAAAAGGAAAGCAAAAAAATATTTAGAACAGATTCTTTCTAGATACAAATTAATATATATGATGTGAAAAAACTTAAAGTAACAAATTTAGATTTAAATGTACTAATTTCACAACTAAGGAAAACAGGAATTCATTTGTGAGGTCAACTAACTGCACTGCACTGATTTCTGCTCAGGTTCCCTGGGAACCTGAGTAAGTAACTAATACTGCATGTCAACAGGATGAACTGATCAAGTCAGATCAAAATGGTATTATGTGAACAACAACAAAAATAATGTAAAGGCACAACTGTATTTTACAGATTTTAAAACCAACTGCATTCCCTAAACCAAAGTGTGCAATCTTCAAAAAGATACACGTAGATGGCTTCCACTTGTCTTATACAAACAAACAGGAAGGCTAAAATCTCAGCTCTCCCTTATTTACCTCAAGATCTGTGAATTGTGCCTGCTATCATCTTTGAATAGTACCTTTGTTCACTTTCTCATCACTATCACTGTACTTTGTTCTACACAGGTCGTATCTTTCATATCCAGCCAGTACCCTCTCAGCCACCCTCCAAACTACCACCCACATAACTTTTATTTTTTAAAACCTAAATCTGGGCATAAGAATTATGCTTAAAATCTTCAGCAACTGCCCACAATCTCAGAGTAAAATTCAAACTCTCATTAGTTTATCGCACAAAACTCCTTTTGAATTAAGACCCTATTCAACTAGCTGCAGAGTTCCCCCAAAGTTTGAGAAATGTGGGGTTGAATAAGTCAAAAGGATTTCTCTTTACTTTTTACAACCCTTACTTACCTAATAGGCTCAACAGATATAGTTACATCATCAAAAGTAGTCTCTTCTGCATACTTTAAAACCTGACAACTGAATCTTTTTTTCTTTTCACTTATTATCTATAATTAATATTTCCAGTCTACAACTCTACCACACTATCTGTCCAGCCACATGGGCTGAAAGTTCTCAAAGAACTTTTTCACCCCACTGCCTTTGTGCATATTGCCAGTTCTATTTGGATAACCCATCCCGTTCCTTTACATCTATATAATTTTTATCAATTTTCAAAACCCAGTTGAAGATGTCCCACTTGCAGATAACTTTTCTTGAAGTCCAGGTCTGAATTAGAGAACCCTGCTTGTATTCTCAGCAGCATCTTGCATAGTCCACATCACTGACAGCTATGTCACTGATTCACTTCTTCGTCCCACATGTGCCACAGTTTTTAATGGCAGGGATCACTTATTCTCAATGTCTTATACAAGACATTTTTTACACATAGTAAGAGTTAAAAAAATGTTTACCCAATGAATAAATTTATTTACAAAGACATGAAAGGTCCCGTCAGCACTTCACCTCGTGCCTTAAGAGAAACTACATCCAAATTCAAAAAATTTTCTATTACTTTACATCTCTGAAAACAAAAAGCCCATTAGAAAAACAATCTAAGACTACTTTGTGTGTTTTTTTAACTGAAAAAAAATTACATTGTTATTTACATGATGTGTCAAATGATGTGTCACTGGCCAGTGACCTGTATGAGTAAAGCTACTGTCATTAATGGCATAAATCACCTCATTTTTCAGCCCTTGGAAAGGGAGAAAAATAGATTACAGAAACTATTCTAGGGACTGGTAGAGTGACTCAAATGGTAGAGTGCCTGCCTAGCAAGTGTGAGGCCCTGAGTTCAAATTCCAGTACTGCCAAAGGAAACTATTCTATATTTTCCATTTCTAACTAGACACAAAGTCATCCCACTAGGATTGTTTTTTAAATACTTTATGTATGAGAGAAAAAAGCAAATCCTAACAATTCATTTCTAGTATATGCCTGTCATTATAAATACTTCATAAGCCAAACAAGACAATCACATTAAACTAATTAAACTATACATCAAATGAAGGCCAAAAATAATTTACTGCAAATAAAGTGATAGCAGTTTATCTCTCCATCCTTTTTTTCCTTCTCTCTTCTCATCCAGTCTCTGCTTTCCTTTCCAACTGAACTTCCCCAACACACACTGGCAAACAAAATAGAGAGCAGAGAAAACTACCCTAATCATTTGTACATACTAAAAACAAAATAAAAATAAACACCTGCATTAAAGAAAATATATTTTAAGGTTAGAAGTATTATGTTTACTGGACATGTGACTAGCGTAACACTGGAGTTATGAGAGACATCAGTATCAAAAGATCTTGTTTCAAGTAACTGCAAATATACAATATTGTGAGAAAAATAAGAATTTTTCACTCAGAGAATGTGATAGGCACTAACCTTAATTGTAAATTCTTTAACCATAACACTTATGTTTTGTTTTCCTGAGGCCCATGCACATTTTTCCATAAATAAAGAGCAGGGTTGTAAGACCTAGAAACAAATAAATGAAATTCACATTTCCTTAGTAATTGGTCCATTAAGTGTGTAGTACACAAGTACAAAAACCAGGGTTACTTAACTTGGAGTTTTTAACTACAACCTACTACGAAAAGCAAAACAGCACATTAAATTAGCCAAGAATCTCCACAAATCACTACAATATGTGGATGCTGAAGAGAACTTAGCAGTTCTCACAGATTTTTTCACTCAAAGTCCTCAAGTAATGATGTATGTTTACTCTTGGACATTTACAGTGTTTTCCTTCAGCTGGAATATTTTTTTAAATGATACACTCTGTAATACTGCTTTTGAACTACATATAAAAACTAGCTAACAACTTTGGTAAGGTAGGTAAATGAGCACTTTCCAGATGAGTAAAAGATAAGTCTTGAGTATCATACAAGATCCTTAATTAGAAGAAATTCCCATTTTTTCAAACTTAATGATTTATTACAATGATGAAGCCTATATTCTTATACATCATTAAGAAATTAAATATTCTTGCCCTTGAACTAAATAGTGTAGTTAGTATGACATAACTATTTTTAAATAATTAGGATGAGCTTTCAATGAAGTGATTGCTAACAGTTTTCTGTGACATATACAAAGATGATATGTCAAAGAATAGTTCATAGTGAAGAGAAGAAAGGCCTAGAACTGCATTTCTTTACACAAATCACTTAGCCCAAAAATATCTTAAATTTAAAATAACACTGCAAATGTATAAATAATAAAATGAACCTTCTACCATAAAATTATCAATTTAATATTAAAAACTAATTGGTATGGGAATTAACTAAAATCCTGTTTTTTAATAGTAATGTGAAAACATAATTGAAATTAACTTTAATAACAAAGAACACCATCTTTTTTGTTTACATGACTCCAAGTGAATTTTTCATTCTAAGCTTAAATTGTCATTCATTCACTCATTGGGTACACTATAGTGAATAAAACAGTGAAAAAAAAATTCAAACACTATTTAACAGAAGATGATATAATTAAAAGGAAACTAGTCTGGAAGTGGTCCCTAGCTCTGTCATTAACAGCCATGTCTTAAGATCTTTGGAATCCAACATCTTTATCTGGAAACCCAAGTTTGCAGTAAATAATCTCTAAAGTCTGAGAGAACTTTCATACTCTAGAATTCTGTGAATCAACTATTTAATTTCTGGGATTCTTCAAGATTAGCATCCAAGGTGTTTCTTACTGTGGTGATGCTCTTCCCTCTCTTTTCTCTGAGAAAAGGGCAAGCGAGCACTTTCAGATCTCTGACAGAGGCTTCCATCATCTGCTCAAGCTTGGATGTTGACAGAGAAAGGTTACACTGGAAGGAGGCTGTCAAAGCAGGGGCATCAGCCTTTGTCAGGTTGGCAACAAACACCACTTCTGGATCTGTGATCTTGGCCTTTAAAGTCATATTTGGTCTTACAGAATCATCTGAAGAAACAAAAACAGGGAGCAGAAAAATTTCAAGTAAATTTTCTCGATTACATGCTATCTACAAGTTGCTAATCATAGTATTTTGCTATGATGGGTATGATGAAATTAATAATATTAATAACTGGTGGGTTAACACTAATAATGATTATTAACCAATTCTGATTATTCAAGAAAATGTAATCTGAAACCTGTCCTAACAAGATCATTCCCACTTTGGCCTTTGTTTTGGAGTTCTTTTGATCAGAATTAAGGTATGTGCATGTACACATACATGAAGGTGTGTTATCAGGGGCAAGGAGGAGAAAACTAAAGCCAGAACTATTAAGAGGAAGAAAGGGACTTTGATGAAGGAGATAAACTCATTTACTTTGGTTTCACCCAAAGCCCATAGTAGGTATCATAATCTGTCATATAAATACACTCAATATATAAATGAACGCAGAGATACAGATATGATTACTACTTAATCAATATTAAAGGGAAATGCAAAAATAATATTCTGACTTTGCCAATAAATGATAGTTTTCCAGTCTTGCTGAGTTTTGCATTTCAGAGAAAATGCCTCACCTTAAATAATGATAATTTACAACACAAAATCAATCACTGGTCTAGTTGGTAGTGCTGGTATATAAACATTACAGAGCTGAGAGTTGCTTTCACACACACCTAGGCCACACAGTTGTAACCTGCTTCACAGAGTTTAGAGAGTTAAAGGTGATGCCCAGGAGTCATGCTGGGTCCTCTCATGTCCTCACCTTTTCCTGTTAACTTTTCAATTATTTTTCAATGTGCTAGACTTTTTCAAAATATTTTCTTTGGATAAAATATCCCCTTATATAAACCAAATGACCTAGATTAACTCCCTCTATTTCTGGGTAGTAAAAAATCTGAATGGTACAGTAGGAACCAGAGCAGAGTTTCCTGGCCCCTCACCCAATATATTTCTACTACGTCTCTCTCTTTAGTTTCCTTACTAAAGTTTTTACATAGATTATGTTTAAATCTGAAAGCCTAATTTTACTTTCTCAAATTCTCCCACTTCTCTTTTCTCCTGTTTGCAATTTTTGTTAAAATATACAAGTTGTCATCTATGACAGCTAAATTCTGCTAACCTTTCTCTAGCTTGACTTTCCCTGTGGCAGCCTGTTTTGATGGAATCTGTATTTCTTTTGCCATATTTTCTGGACTCTGAGGTATAGCTTTGATGAAAAAATCTGCCACAGTCATCAGAAACTCCACACTGGCGCATACATACAGCTTGTCTAGAACAGCATCAACTTGACTTCCATTCTTGTCTTGTTTATAACTTATATCAATCATAGAACTATTGTTATCTTGGTCATTCTTTTTGTCAATCATCCTGAAACAAAAATATACCATTATTTTAGTCCTGCTGAAATAAAAAAAACAGATGAAAATGTTCCTATACATTGTCTTTCCATTTCTAATCTAAACAGAAAATAGGACAATGTTAATGGAATCTTCAGCCAATTAGAAACTAAAATATCTCCTAATATTCAAAGAAACATGTAATTAAGCAATGACAGAATTTTTTTTATTTACAAAAGATTATTTTATTAAACTTATCTCAGTAACCCGGGGACAATTCAGACCAATTTCATCAGATTATCTGGGGATGGAAACAGGCATTGATATTTTTATTATAAGTTTCCCAGGGGCTCCAAGGAGTGGCCAAAGGTTGAGGATCAATGACTGGAATAAAGAGTAAGTTAAAACCTGTGCTATGGAAAGATGACTTTTCCTAGGCACATCTACAGCAAAGCTAAATATAAAATTTAAGTATATAGGAAAATATGCAGCAAAAAAAGACCAAAATGTCATTGCCATCTAGCCTCCAAAATTCTTTTTTTTGCCTAATCTTTTGTTATTTATGATTTTACTACCATATAATAGTTGTACGGGGATACATTATGATTTTACATAAGTTTTTAAAATATATCTTAGTTGGATTTACCCCCTCCATTATAGAATGTTTTAAAATTATAATGCAATACTACAGGAGCCAATTATTGGAAATGAATTTGGGCAGTTAGCAAAACATATGAATATGGTCCTACAAAATACAAGACAACCACTTTGCATTATTTTACTAAATAAAACTTCCCTGAAGGAATTTATCTCCAAAGATCATTCTTTTTAATTTGAGTCCAAAAGTGTACAAGCAACTCAAATCAGTGACTGTAGTGACAACCCTACACATCCTCACATGTGCTGGAAAGACTGGGTTTCCAAACAGATGGTGACATTTTTCATCCTTGTCTATACAGCTATGGACTACTAGCCTGGACATGAAATCTGCAAACTAGAAAAGCTAGTTGCAAGACAGAACAGTTTCCTCATTTAGTCATTTCTCAGGAAAACACAAGGCTCAGCAGTATCCAGTAACTAGTCAATGGAGTCCAAGTTTAAGTAGCAGTACAGTTTTTCTTTAAAAAAAACGAAGTATAAAACATTATGGGTCCCATTACTGAAAAAGGATAAAAACCTAACAAGGTTATTGAAATTACATATTTCAGTATGTTACATGTAACTTTATGACAGACTGATACACTTTAAATATTTCAAATGGGTTAATAATGTGATCATGCTTGGGATTCTATTCCCTAAAACCTAAAGAAATTTTTGCACAGAAAAAATAAACAAGATAAAGGAAAGATTCATAAACTTAAAAAAGATTTTAAAAGGATTCTGCCTACTAGAGACAATTTGGAAAAATATACTACCAACATATCATCCATGTTGATTTAACTATTAAAACTCATATTCTCTTCATTCTTATTTTTAAGATGGTACTCCATTTTATTGATAAAGTTTCCTTTAATTAAACTCTAAAGCAGCTGAATCCAATATCAGCACTACTTCTTGCTGCAATTTAACTCAGGAAGAATGACCAAAGATAGAACCCTTTTTGATGATCCTAAGTTCAACAATGCTAGATAACAATGTCAACCTTAAATAATGTATGACAAATTCAGATCTGACAAACCTCGATGTTGCTCTCTCAATGCCTTCTCTGAGATCATCAAGAGTGCACGTTTTAAGTTTAAGGCTGACATTCATTGAGCCATCCTTGAACATCTTCCCTGCAGAAGCCATCAAGTGCAGTGTGAGCTCACCAAGACGCAAACTGTCATTATGAAATGAAAGTCTGGACTCCTATGGCACATTTTTCAAGCAAAGGAATCAATTATCTTTAAATATTATATAATTACTTTTAAAAACATTTATTACGTCCGATCTGAAAGGCAAAACAATCTCAAAAATTTTAAAAGTATGGGTGCTAAAACACATAAATACAGCAGAGTAATATGGTGTGAGTATATATGAATACAAATACATATGTATGTGTGGTGGTATTCAATAGTCAATATGTAAAAATCTGATATAATTTTGATGCAAATAAAACAATCAGCAAACACTGTAGTCAGTTAATCATGAGTTAACATAAACACTTAATGAACTCTTCTATTAAAAAGTCATAAGAACTGTAAAGCTTATGAGAAAGGATAAGGTCTGATAGGCATTCTCAGTGAGCTTATATTGTAGTTGAGAAAGCAAAATGGAAATACATTAAGAGGAATATCATAAATTGTAAATGCTCAAATACCTTGTGAATTGTACTAATTTTTTATTAGTATCTTCCTGCATTCCACAAAGGATATTGTGTGGTTAAGCAAGAGTATAAACAGTAAAAGCTCAGGGAGGTCAACTATATAACTGTGGGCTTCGAAAACTTGAGGCAGAAAATGGGGACTTAATGACAAGCTGAAAAGGTAGAAGGCATTCTGTATGGCAAAAAAGCATGAGTAAATGATGTAGATATCCTCAAGGCACAGGGTAGAGAGATCAGGCTTCAACATTCCAATTAAATAATAGTAGAGTGTGAGACTCAAAAGAGATATGGAAGCTTAATTAAGGTCTCAAATCCCACACGAAAGATTTAAATATTGTTCATAGGGAAAAAGGCTTTAATCTTTATTCCACCATAACACATAACTCAAAATACTCCAGGTAGGTCCAGATTTTATAAAGAACAGACCCTCCCCAACCAATCGACAAACAAAAACCTGTCAGGGACAATTCTTCAAACAACCACCACAGTTGATCACTAGAGACCATGGCCTTATTAAGAGGTGTGCCAGCCATGTGCCTTCTTGGCACAAGGCTTAGTACTCCATATCTTCTCTCATTCCAGACTGTACACTGCATGAAAATGGGTCAGAATGACATTATTACTAGCAAACTTTGAAGCCTTTAACTTACAAAAATGGAAATAATTCACAAAATTGTCTAACTATTGATAGAAATGGATCATAACCACTAATGCTTCCTATAAAGGTTACTGATACAGACAATTTGGGGCCAACGAATAGCTTTTGTTTTTGTTTTTCATAAAGAGAAGCTCACACACCATAATACTGAATGTTTTTAAACAGAATGGGAAGTTGTAAGTAGCTACATGAGATTCATTTAAGACACTGAACTTATACAAACGTCTAGAAGGGATGAAAGGAAGCCATTGCAGTAAAGCTGTGAGCTAAAATGAGTCTCAAAGCAGCAGTGAGACTGACAAAAAAAAAAAAAAAAAATCAATGTTCACTCAAAGAAAGAAAACTGACAGTACTCAGGGTCTAACTGAGTAAGCAAAGTTAAGAAAGAAAGAAGTAAAAGAAGATAGCAAGTTTCTAAGGGTGGGAAACCAACAGATGATGTTCCTTAAGTGAAATTAAGAGTGTATTTAATTGTTCATTTTTAAAGTCATTTTTTAAAAAGTCATTTTTTGATGTTTCTGTGATCTTAAACATTGGAAATTTAGGCAGCTCACTGCACAAATAACAGCTATTAACCCAAAGCTCAACAGCAGCAATGTATGAATAGTGTAATTTTTAGAAAATAAAATATGAATTTAGTATAAAATAAAAATTAACAGACGTAATATCTATAATAAATATATTATGGGTATTATATAACATATTGTGGATCTCAGCATAATTATTAATTGATATAATAAAACTATTTATTAGAAGATACTCTAGAATAAAAATACAATTCTAAAATGCCACTAAGCCATTATTTAGTTCTATTGTGGCACCAGATCTTAGTTCTTCAATTCTTAACATTCTTAATATAAATCTACTCCATGCAATATTTATTGAATAGAAATACAATTTACACTTATGTACCATGAATAATCATGAATTTAAAAATAACCATCTAAGGCTCCAAAAGCCATCATTATGTTACTCTTGATTAATTATATCTCTCTATGTGATAAAATTGAACATATAATCAGTCATTCATATATAAAATTGCTCTATCAGTGACAGATCAATATGTGTTTTGGTGCTGAGGTTAGCTGGAAAGAAATAAACCCTGAATGATCTCCCTTAGCCTCATAAGATTAGAAACACTAACCAAGTAAACAGTGAGGGTGGCACCATGCATATTTTTCATGCATTATACTAGAAATTTGCAGACATATTAAATTTTTAAATAAAATCACACAAAAAATGCCAATACTGTAAAACTGCTAAGTATTTATCTCTAGGTATAAAAATTTACTACATACCTGATTGACATCATTATTGTAAAGAGTAATAGAAAGAGATTCAAAGTGAAAGTCAAATTGAAGAGTGACATTCTGGTCCACAGAAGGCTTTGAGTCTGTCAAATCTTGTTCTGATGGTCCAAACATGAATATAAAAATCATAAATATTTTAAGGAGGGATATTATTTTATACATATTTTAAAAGCTGGAATAATAATTTATTATTCAGAATTTATCTCATACCGCTTTCCAGTATTTGAAATAGATTATGAGACAATTAATAAAAATGGCAATGACTATTCCATATATGTAATATAGGCAACATGGCCGAGACAAACTACTTATATTTAAAAAAAAAAAAAAAAAAAAGCAGTATCAAGGCAACTTTTTTTTTTTGAAGGACTTGGGTTTGAACTCAGGGCTTCAGGCACTCTACTGCTTGATCCACACCTCCAGTCCATTTTTGCTCTGGTTATTTTGGAGATGGAGCCTCACAAAATATCTGTCCAAGCCATCCTTGAACTGTGATCCTCCTGAACTCAGACTCCCAAGTAACTAGGATTACAGGTGTGAGCCACAGGCACCTGGCTTCAAGACAACTTTTTAAAAGGTTCCTTCAAAGTCAGACTTAGTTTTCATCACTGAGGTATCTTTACCTAATTAGTCCAAGACATCCTCAAGATATTATGAAACTGAAGGCACAGAAAAGACAAACACTTTGCCCTAGCTTAGGGAATAAAATATCTTCTGCTAGCAAGTGTACTTCTCATTATCGTACCTATTTTACCCAGCCCATTTCTTTGTAAGAATAGAAGCCAACAGCAAAATCAAACAGAAGTGAAATATGTTAGGGGAAGAAGCCTTTGGAATTTTGAAGTCAAAGAAACTTCAAGAAGTAATTTAGTCTTTTCTCTCATCTTTAGATAGAAGAGAGCCTACTTTCAATCATAGTAATTCTGTAATCCTTTTGAAGATTAACTATTTTTTGGTCAATCTTTAGGAAAGTCTCCTCTTACAAGTTATCAGAAAAATGAAAACTACATAACTTTAGCCATGTATAGCTTCTCCAAGCTGTAAACTCCTGGGATTCTTTCTCTACTTTTCCTGAAAATAATTTATATTTCAATCTTCATCATCTTTGCAGATTGCATATAAACTCACAAATTTTTCCAAGTGCCAGATTGACCAAATGGTGACAATCAGAAAGACAAATGTGATTTCAGCTGAACCTAATGAGCTCATTAAGTATATAAAGTTTGCCTGTCATAGTCTGTTCACCTCTGCACAGGGCCTGTCTGTAACAGCCTACTTATCTGGCCTTTGTCTACACGGCAGCATGAACCCAACCTGGGAGATGCTGGCTTCATCAAGCTCGTGAAACACCCACAACTGTCTACTTAAACTAGAAGCCTTATTTTGTACATTGCTACAAGTCATTTGTGTAATTCCAAAACATATCTGGCCTAATTATAGGAGAAGCAGTGTCGGAACCATTACTAACTGGTAGTTTCACCAATTAAGCTATGGACTAAGAACATGATAAAAGTACAAAAAGCCTGAGATCATTTCTTATAAGGGCAAGAGGCATTTCAACTCTTCTTAGTCATGAAAATATTAACTTATTTACAGATTTAAAGAATCTGATATTCCCATCAATGACTTTAAATAATAAAAAGGCCAGGCACAATGGTATATACTTATAATCACAGCATTCAGGAAGCTGAGGCAGGAGGATTGCGTATTTGAGGCAGCCTGAACTACAAAGTGAGCCCGTCTTTAAAAACAAGCTACTTGGAGAGCTGAGATTGGGAGGATTGAGGTTTGAGGTCAGCCCAGGCAAACAGTTTTAGAGACTCCATTTCAACCAATAAGTGGGCACTGGCACTTGCCCGTCATGCCAGCTACATGAAAGTATGAAACTGGGAGGATCGCAGTTCCATTCTAGCCCAGACAAAAACTCTGAGAGACCTCCTATCAATGGATAAAAGCTGGGCATTGTGGCGTGTGTCCATCATCCGTGACAGCAGGAAGCCTAAAATAGACAAGGACAGTCCAGGTCAGCCTGGGCAAAAGGAGAGATCCTAAAAAGCCAGAGGAAAAAAGGACAAGAGGTATGGCTCAAGTAGTAGAGCCCCTGACTAGCAAACATGCAGCCCTGAATTCGAACCACACGCAAAAAAAAGTGAAATTATATTTTGCATAATATATTTAAGAAGCTAGAAAGCATCTTATATTTTAGGGAAATTACTTTAAAATGATTGAATTTAAAAGGCTCAGTTCTTTAAAAAACTCAGTTTTAGCAATCTGAAAATTTCTGTAATGTATCTTACTAGATCATTCTCCAACGAAGCCAGACTAATAAAGCTGTTACTATAAAAGTATACCTTCCTTTCTTGAGGTTCAGGCACCATACCAAGATCCTTTCCTCTCTGAATTATTTAGAGGGTTTTACTACTCTGAGGTACTGCTTTGGTCTTTCTCTCAACGCATGTCACACCTCAGAGCCTGGTGAACTGAGCAAAGTCAGCTTTCACAAGCAGCAAGCAGCAAGATGACCTTTCCCCATCACAGACAAGTGACACACCTTCTTCCCCTGGGGGCTTTAAGATTTAGCCATAGCCAGAGCAGAATTCCCACAGGAAACTGTGTAATATTGAGTCAGTTTGTACCACATTATGTTGGACAACTAAAAAACATTAAATGTAAATATGACACTCACAATTTTTCAATAATCAACACAACAATCTTTACCAACTTATACCTTTGAGGTGGTCAGGCCCACTCAGAATATCTTTCTTTACTCTTACTGCCTCCTGTGCAGACTGTGTGGGGCTTGGTTGTGAAGAAGCCTCTCCAAGATTTTCCAGCAAAATTCTCATTAAAACTGATAAGTCATCTTCACTGATAGCAACCTAGAAACCACCAATACTTGGTTTACATAAAATAATAAAAATCAGAATAATATAACTATGTCTAAATATATAATTTCTCAAGTTAACTAACTGTTCATCTATTTTAAGTACAGAGAAGAAGGTAGGGAGGATGGGAAGGCGAGAGAGAAAGATGACAGACAGACGAGAATCATCAGGAGAGAATCATTTATTTCTATCTAGTGGGAGACATGGCTCCTGTGTGCAAACATACTTCTGCCCCTGCCTCTGGAACTCCAGCACCCTCCCTGCCTAATGGTAACTGTGCAGTCCTGTCCTGGACCCAAGTCTGACTTCTCCTCTCCCTGTCTCCATCATGCATCTCTCATCTAGTTCAGCACCAGCTCCTTCTACATTATTTACTTCCTTCCAAACTCAATACAGGAATAGTACTATTCAGATTCTGGTCTCCACTAATACGTAAAAAGGTATTTTCATGCTATGTATCTCTGTTTTTAGAATACATGTATCTGGACAATCATAAAATAACCGTTCCTTTATCTTACAAAAAATAACACTGCTTAGAATAATAAGTGAAAGTACAACATATTTTTTTAAAAACCAAAACACACACCATGAGGGTAGGATCTTACTTGTATTTTAACTTTACAAAAGGGCAGGTGTAGTAAAAAGAAAAACAAAAAATCAAAGTCATTTGAATCAGACAGATCTGTATCAGCTATATTGTTTTCAAGCTGTGTTGTGGGCTGTTTCTCAGCTTCTTTAATTCAAGTCTTTTTTTAACCTTTAGAAGAGGAATTATAGCTTCTTCTTCGCAGGTGGCTTTAGAACAACATGAAGCAGCTAGAACAAACAAAGCTGCTAGTGGCTATCAAGATTAGTACTTTCTCTGAAGCTTCACATCCTTCTACCTTTTGTAAATTTTCTCTACAGACACCATGGTTCAAAAGGCTTGTTTTAAGTGCTTGCACATAAATGCATACAAACATGCCTGCATATACAGCACACCTCCTTTTCTGAATGCCACAGTAATCTGTGTCCCCAAAATTAGATCCCTATGGCCAGGGAATTTGCATAGTTCCCTACCTAAATGAAAACAGGAAAATATTTAGCACAAGGTAGTAGTCAGAGACTTCTTGTTTATCCCAAGCTACAGTCCTCAGATAACAGGTGCAATACTAACTCCTTAGAACGTCCTTGGATAACCATTTCTATCTGTGATGCCAAACAAGCTATTACAGCTGCCTGAACACCTGCTAATTTGACCACCTCCTGCTTGCTGTGGAAAGAAAGAGTAAGTTTATCATATATTAGACAGACCTTTAGCAAGTCTGAGAACAAATTTGAAAGGTGGCCTCACAGTTCTTTAGAAACTAGCAAACTGATCTACTGAAAACAAGCAAACTGATCTACTGAAAACAACTTGTTAGGTCACCGTCCTGAAATTCTTTCTTAGCTACACCCTTGACTTAGGAAAACTATCCAGACCATGACAACAGACAGACAGTGTCTAAAGAGGCCTGAATCACTGATGGGTGAGGAGTGGAATAATATCCACTGTGGCTGCATTGTTCAGTTGACAAGGGTCCTTTTGGTTAAAGTAATGATCACACTTATATGCTAACCTGTTGGATCTGATACTTTCTTCTCCTTTGAAATACTTCAACCAAAAATACTCTATCATAAATATAGGATAGAGAATACTGTAATCCTCCACTGTGTACCTACCATCCAGCTTTATGGAAACTTGAACAAGTCACTACATTTCCTCTGGATATTTTACTCCCTTTTATAGCTTTGAAACCCCAGGTATAATTCTTCACATCCCACCCCTTTCTTTCATCTCCACATTCTACAATAAGAGAATTATCATTCTCATAAATGCTTTTACATTTATCATTATTGTACACCCTATAAAATATGTACAAATGTACACACACACATAGCAGTTGCCTTGCTTGTTGCAAAATTTCAAATATAGAACTTTACTATCATTTTGTGATTTAAAATTTTTTTATGTTTAAGATATATCCACTTGTTTCATACAGTTCTAGTTCATCACTTTACATGCTTTACAATGTCCATATAGAATATATCATAATTTTGTCTACATTCTCCTACTGATAAACATTCATGTTTTCCTTTTGCTTTTAGCAAATCAAAAACTACATGATCTATAAAAGAAGGGTCAAGTATTAGTGCTGGGATCTAATCTCTGGGCAGTAAGGGAGAAATTAAGAGAAGGCACCAATACTATGGAACAGAAGCTACTCTATGAATACCCTGAACAGACATAATTCAGTAATTCCTTCTCATATAATATATCCACTAGGACATACACACAGAAACCTTCATTTTAACAAGTTTCAATTTTAATTTCTTTTCTAGTACAACTTTGCTCTTTTGAACCTTCCTATTTTAGCTCAAAACCTACTCTAAAATAATCACATGTATCAAAAAGATGAAATGTCTATTTGCTTTTTATATACTCTACTTGTTTAATCTCTCCCTCCTACCCCAACTTTGATGTTTAGCTTTAACAGTTTCACAAACAGGCACAGGAGAATTACAGGGTTTCTACATTCCATGACTACCAGTGTTGCCAATTCCATAGGCAGTCATAGCATGTTAACTATGCCATTAAAAACACTGCTGCATTGATATGTTTCCAAAATCAATAGACTTGCCTATTCAGAATGATGTCCACTTTTCTAAATTAGTAATTCATTGTACCTTAATTATGTACAAATACTATGTCAATACAAACCTTTCTAGAATTAAAAAAATTAAAGTGCTTTGAATGTGATATCTGAACATCACTTTGAATTCTCTTAAAATTTAACTACATTAAGACTTTAAAGATAATTTTCCAAAATTAAGAATAAAATTTTCAGTAAATTCCAGCAAGTTTTTCACCTCACACTTCTTGCTGGTTTTTACCAGTATTTAACTAAAATGAAATAGAGAAAAGTGTGGGAAACATGGATGACCTCACTTGCAGTTAACAAAGTGTTCATACATTATTGATCAATAAATTTAATAACAGATACATACCTGCATAGGTTTTAGTTTTCCTTTTATCTCCATCCCTGGAATTTGCACATACCATGTCGCTGATAAGTTTCGTTGTATGGACAAAAGCATGTTTACTGGTTTTAAAATTTCAATGTCATGCTGTGGCAAGCCAGTCTGCAAAATAGTTCTGAAAGAAAAACAAAGATTTACTAACATGTATATTTACTTTTAAGTTACATTTTAAAATGAGGACTACCATATTTTGTAATAGCTTCCACATAGCATTTTCCTAAACACTTAAAAAGCTGCTATCGGAATTCTTTTAAAACTTATTTATCATAAATAAATTAAAATTAGAGTAAATCAGCTTTATGTACAAAATTATGTAAAACAAAGCCTATTTATATACTTTTTATATGATCTGAAAGACATATTTCCCATAACTCTGATTACTGTATTTTTTCTACTATCTTCAAGAAAATGATTACATACTTAGCTCTTAACATGTTATTGTTATTTCTTCAAACTCAAGGGGAAAAATACATCAAATCGAAAAGGTAAATGGCAATAGTCATTTCTAGCATGACCTACTAACGACCATTTGACAACCAAGTAAGTCTGCTTGCCCCTCAACCAAGTCAACACTTTCTCATTTGGATTCAAAAATCCTTTAGATACCTCACTGAAAATTCCCAAATGCAACAAGGTTTGAGAGTGAGAAATTTAAAGTCTTATTAGACTTTAGGAAGTTTTTCCCCACCTACAGAAAAGGAAGTAGCTATGTGAAAAGTAAGAAAACATGTATTAAAAAATGAAAATAAATATTACTAAGTAAACTACAATTTTTTTTGACATGATGCCTCACTACGTTGCCCAGGTTGGTCTGGAACCTGTGAGTCAAATGATCCCACCTCAGCCACCTACATAGCTCAGACTACAGGCATGCAACAACACCATGCTTAAACAGTAAATTATAACTTTCCAAGTAATTTTATAGAATGGAAAACAAGTCACACTGTATTATTTAGCAGTGTAAAATGCAGATTCTATGAAGCACACAACTGTTAGCTACTTACTAAAAGGTTTCATAAAAATAAATTAGGAATGAGAATCACAAATTACTATTTTATCCCAGGCACAAATATGATGAAAATCCCATTTCTACTAAGACAATCACAATTAGATTACATATTTATACCTGGACAGCTTCAACTGAGTGAGCTGGATATTCATTTTATCAATGACTGGGGGAAGAGAATAATGTTCCATGGACACCAAGCTAAATTTGTTTTCAACTCTGATTAAACCCAGATCTGCTATAACAGCATTGGGTGATACTGAAGACTGAGGAATAATAATAACAGGTGCCTTCAAGTTGATATCCATCAAAAGGCGGAAGCTCTTCTGGGCCAAGTCTTTCATGCTGGAGGCGGCTCTCTCTGCAGCATGGACTGTGGCTGTGCTCAAAGCTTCTTTTGCAGTTTGGAAATTGTTGAGGAAGTTCTGTTGGAAGAGACTGATAGTCAGACAGTTCTCCAAGAACATCTATTTTTAAAAGAAAAAACTTCAAGAAGCATTTACTCTAAAAAGAAAAGTTAAATAGCAGAGGTGCTCCAAAAGACTCTATCCAAAAACTCTTACACACTATAAACAGATATACCAAGGTGACAGGATACAAAATCAACTTACAAAAATCATTAGCTTTTTTATACACCAACAACGAACAAACTGAGAAGGAATATATGGAAATAATGCCATTTACCATATCCTCAAAAAAAAAATCAAATACCAAGGAGTGAACTTTTTCTTTTTAATTTTTATTGTTTTATTATTCATATGTGCGTACAAGGCTTGGGTCATTTCTCCCCCCTGCCCCCACCCCATCCCTTTCCTCCCACCCCCTCGATACCTGGCAGAAACTATTTTGCCCTTATCTCTAATTTTGTTGAAGAGAGAGTATAAGCAATAATAGGAAGGAAAAAGGGTTTTTGCTGGTTGAGATAAGGATAGCTATACAGGGAGTTGACTCACATTAATTTCCTGTGCGTGTGTGTTACCTTCTAGGTTAATTCTTTTTGATCTAACCTTTTCTCTAGTTCTTGGTACTCTTCTCCTACTGGCCTCAGTTGCTTTTAAGGTATCTGCTTTAGTTTCTCTGCGTTAAGGGCAACAAATGCTAGCTAGTTTTTTAGGTGTCTTACCTATCCTCACACCTCCCTTGTGTGCTCTCGCTTTTATTATGTGCTCAAAGTCCAATCCCCTTGTTGTGTTTGCCCTTGATCTAATGTTCGCATATGAGGGAGAACATACGATTTTTGGTCTTTTGGGCCAGGCTAACCTCACTCAGAATGATGTTCTCCAAGTCCATCCATTTACCAGCGAATAGTAACATTTTGTTCTTCTTCATGGCAGCATAAAATTCCACTATGTATAGATACCACGTTTTCTTAATCCATTCATCAGTGGTGGGGCATCTTGGCTGTTTCCATAACTTGGCTATTGTGAATAGTGCCGCAATAAACATGGGTGTGCAGGTGCCTCTGGAGTAACCTGTGTCACAGTCTTTTGGGTATATCCCCAAGAGTGGTATTGCTCGATCAAATGGTAGATCAATGTCTAGCTTTTTAAGTAGCCTCCAAATTTTTTTCCAGAGTGGTTGTACTAGTTTACATTTCCACCAACAGTGTAAGAGGGTTCCTTGTTCCCCGCATTCTCGCCAACACCTGTTGTTGGTGGTGTTGCTGATGATGGCTATTCTAACAGGGGTGAGGTGGAATCTTAGTGTGGTTTTAATTTGCATTTCCTTTATTGCTAGAGATGGTGAGCATTTTTTCATGTGTTTTTTTGGCCATTTGAATTTCTTCTTTTGAGAAAGTTCTGTTTAGTTCACTTGCCCATTTCTTTATTGGTTCATTAGTTTTAGGAGAATTTAGTTTTTTAAGTTCTCTATATATTCTGGTTATCAGTCCTTTGATGTGTAGCTGGCAAATATATTCTCCCACTCTATGGGTGTTCTCTTCAGTTTAGAGACCATTTCTTTTGATGAACAGAAGCTTTTTAGTTTTATGAAGTCCTGTTTATCTATGCGATCTATCTCTTAGGTGCTGTGCTGCTGGGGTTCCATTGAGAAAATTCTTACCTATACCTACTAACTCCAGAGTATTTCCTACTCTTTCCTGTATCAACTTTAGAGTTTGGGGTCTGATATTAAGATCCTTGATCCATTTTGAGTTAATATTGGTATAGGGTGAAATACACGGATCTAGTTTCAGTTTTTTGCAGACTGCTATCCAGTTTTCCGAGCAGTTTTTGTTGAAGAGGCTGCTTTTTCTCCATCGTATATTTTTAGCTCCTTTGTCAAAGACAAGTTAGTTATAGCTGTGTGGCTTTATATCTGGGTCCTCTATTCTGTTCCACTGGTCTTCATGTCTGTTTTTGTGCCAGTACCATGCTGTTTTTATTGTTATTGCTTTGTAATATAGTTTGAAGTCAGGTATCGTGATACCTCCAGCATTGTTCTTTTGACTGAGTATTGCCTTGGCTATTCATAACCTCTTGTGTTTCCATATAAATTTAACAGTAGATTTTTCAATCTCTTTAATGAATGTCATTGGAATTTTCATGGGAATTGCATTAAACATGTAGATTGTTTTTGGGAGTATAGACATTTTTTCTGTGTTGATTCTACCAATCCATGAGCATGGGAGATCTCTCCACTTTCTATAGTCTTCCTCAATCTTTTCTTCAGAAGTTTATAGTTTTCCCAAGGGTGAACTTAACAAAGGATGTGAATGACCTCTACAAGGAGAATTACAAACCCCTGAAGAAAGAGATCAAGGAAGACTACAGAAGATGGAAAGATCTCCCATGCTCGTGGATTGGTAGAATCAACATAGTAAAAACGGCTATACTACCAAAAGCAATCTACATGTTTAATGCAATTCCCATCAAAATCCCAGTGACTTTCATCACAGAGATTAAAATCTACCCTAAAGTTCATTTGGAAACACAAGAGACCACGAATAGCCAAGGCAATAATCAGTAAAAGGAGCAATGCTTGAGGTATCACAATACCCGACTTCAAACTGTATTACAAAGCAATAGCTATAAAAACAGCATGGTACTGGCACAAAAACAGACATGAAGCCCAATGGAACAGAATAGAGAACAGAATATGAATCCACACAACTATACCCACCTCATTTTTGACAAAGGTGCCAAAAATATACGATGGAGAAAGGACAACCTCTTCAACAAATGTTTCTGGGAAAAATGGTTATCCATCTGCAAGAAACTGAAACTAGATCCATGTCTATCACCCTGTACTAGTATCAACTCATAATGGATCAAGGACCTTAATATCAGACCCAAAACTCTGAAGTTAGTACAGGAAGGAGCAGGAAACACTCTGAAACTAATAGGTATAGGCAAGGACTTCCTCAGTACAACCCCAGCAGCTCAGCAACTAAGAGAAAGGATGAATAAATGGGACTTCATAGAATTAAAAAGCTTCTGCACAACAAAAGAAATGGTCTCTAAACTGAAAAGACCACCCAGAGAATGGGAGAAAATATTTGCCAGCTACACAACAGAAAAAGGACTAATAACCAGAATATACAGGGCACTTAAGAAACTAAACTCTCCTAAAATCAATGAACCAATTAAGAAATGGGCAAGTCAAAAGACCAAAAATTATATGTTCTCCCTCTTATGTGGACATTAGATCAAGGGCAAACACAACAAGGGGATTGGACTTTGAGCACATGATAAAAGCGAGAGCACACAAGGGAGGGGTGAGGATAGGTAAGACACCTAAAAAACTAGCTAGCATTTGTTGCCCTTAACGCAGAGAAACTAAAGCAGATACCTTAAAAGCAACTGAGGCCAATAGGAAAAGGGGACCAGGAACTAGAGAAAAGGTTAGATCAAAAAGAATTAACCTAGAAGGTAACACACATGCACAGGAAATTAATGTGAGTCAACTCCCTATATAGCTATCCTTATCTCAACCAGCAAAAACCCTTGTTCCTTCCTATTATTGCTTATACTCTCTCTTCAACAAAATTAGAGATAAGGGCAAAATAGTTTCTGCCAGGGATCGAGGGGGTGGGGGGGAGAGGGAGGGGGCCGAGTGGGTGGTAAGAGAGGGGGTGGGGGCAGGGGGGAGAAATGACCCAAGCCTTGTATACACATATGAATAATAAAATTAAAAAAAAAAAGAAATGGGCAAGTGAACTAAACAGAACTTTCTCAAAAGAAGAAATTCAAATGGCCAAAAAACACATGAAAAAATGCTCACCATCTCTAGCCATAAAGGAAATGCAAATCAAAACTACACTAAGATTCCACCTCACCCCTGTTAGAATAGCCATCATCAAAAACACCATCAACACCGCCAACATGTGTTGGTGAGGATGTGGGGGAAATAGGAAACTTCATACACTGCTTGTGGGAATGCAAGCTGGTGCAACCACTCTGGAAAAAAATTTGGAGGCTTCTTAAAAATCTAAACAGATTTGCCATACAATCCAGCAATCCCACTCCTGGGGATATATCCAAAGGAATGAGACACAAGTTACTCCAAAGGCACCTGCACAACCATGTTTATTGAAACGCTATTCACAATAGCCAAGTTATGGAAACAGCCAAGATACCTTACTACTGACGAATGGATCAAGAAAATGTGGTATTTATACACAATGGAATTTTACTCAGCCATAAAGAAGAATGAAATCTTATCATTTGCAGGTAAATGGATGGTACTGGAGAATATCATTCTGAGCGTAGTTAGCCAGGCTCAGAAGACCAAAATTGTTATGTTCTCCCTCATATGCGGACTTAAGATCTAGGGGAAATGCAGCAATGTGATTGGACTTGGATCCCATGACAAGGGGAGAGCACATATGGGAGATATGGGAATAGGCAGAAAACCCAAACATGAAAGCGTCTGATACAGAAACCTTAAAGCGACAGAGGTTATCTTGAGAAGGGGATTAGGAACCAGTATAACGATCAGTTAGAGATGAATCAACTTGGGTTGTAACACATTTGTACATGAAAGCAATGCTAGGAATCTTTCTGTATAGCTGTCCTTATCTCAACTAGCAACTATGTCTTCTTCTCAACAAAATTAGAGATAAGGGCAGAAGAGGTTCTGCCTGGAAGTGAGGGGGGGAGGGGAGGGGAGGGGAGAGTGGTGGAAGGGGGCAGCGGGGCAAAATGACCCAAACAATGTACGCCCATGTGAATAAATGAATAATAAAAACTTTTTTAAAAAAAAAACATAGAAAAAAATAAATAAATAACAAAGGTTCTATAAAAAGTTAATATAAAAAAGTTCAATAATAGAGGTGCTATAAAAAGAGCTATTATTTATGATGGACAAAAGTAGAGTTGGGAATGACACTCTCTGAGCTAATAACTAGTAACAATATCTACCTACCACTAGGAAAGAAGAGTTTTATTGATTTTCATTTGTATTTTTTTAGAATTAGTCTTCTTTGACAAATTTTTATAACAGTTCTTTTTATTTTTTTTTATTAATGACTGTTGGTCATTTTAAATTCAATTTAAATGAAAGGGATGGAGGAGCGCACTCTATTTCTCCTAAAGTGTGCTCTGTTCTATTCCCGTCATAGAAATAAACTTTAATTTAAAAAAAAAGTTAAAAAGAAAAAAATATAAACTTTATTCTTAAGAACTAAGGTTCTGGTACTTTATTTTTGAAATTTTACTTGTTTAAATGTACTAGAAATGAGCAAACATATTGTCTATAATCCTGCAATCATTAATAAGAATCAAAACAACTTTATTTATGGCAAGATACATTTCGCCCAATTTCAACTAAGAACAAAAACATTTTTCCCAATGAAGAAACAATAATTCTTAGAAGCAATATTCTTAATGTTCATCAATTAATAATACAAAAACAACTTAATCTACTTCATATCACAAAATAAATTCCTTCCTAGAAAAGTGAACAGGAGGGTTTAGTTATAAACTCATGACTGGAAAGCTTAGCTAGCAGCCTTGCTGAGAGTCACAGGCAGATTTAAATTCTTACATGCACAGTGTAAAATAAAAGAATTTCATGGCTTTGATGATCACAAATGCAATCAAGAGCTATAAGTTTAATATTAGTTCTCAAGTGCCTGCTGACATTTCCTAAAAAGTTATTTTAACTAAATACTGTTAAGGGTATTAAAACATCAAAAAGTACCTATAAAATACATAACTATGAAAATATTAAGAGAATGATAGTTTGTACATTCAAAGCAATGATTTAAAAACTTTCATTTGGTTAATTATCATGTAAAAGGTTTCCTTACTCACAACATTCTGCTCAGCATTTGTGTGTTTACCACATAGCACTATGTTATGGTTTGGATCTTAAGTGCTGAAGACCTGGTGCCAATCTGTGTTACTAGTGGGAGGTGGTACAATCTTTTGGAAGAGTTGCCCAGTGAAAGGAAGTAAAGTCACTGGTGGCATACTCTTGATGGATGTATTAGGACCTCTTCCCCATCTGCTTCCTGGAAACCATGAGATGAACACCTTTCCTCTATGTCACACTCTCCACCATATTATTATGCCTCACCACAGGCCCACAAACAAGGGAACCAGGTGACCATGGAGTGAAACCTCCAAAACTACGAACCATAATAAACCTTTCCTCCTTTTACGCTGCTTATCTCAGGTATGTTGTCACTGTGATGAAAGGCTACACATACCCTATGGTTCAGATGTTTGAGCAAAATATTTAGGCCTCAATGAGAAAAGAAATAACATCTAAAAAAATAAACTCACCAAAAGAGACATGAAGAATTTATGAACATAAACAGTTTGAATACAGCCCACTTTGAGACTCAATTTGCCATCTACTTTAGATATATCAGCATAGGACTCTCCTTCTGTGGCATCTGGATACAGAGTCATCTGGAACCTGAAGACTTCGTCTCCCAAAATAGAGACAACCTAAAAGCATGAGATAATCAGGTATTACATTAAAAGAGCTTGTGGAGTCTTTGTCACTGAATCATAAATGAGTTTTCTAATCACAGAATTCTGTTTTTTTGGCAGCACTGGGGTTTGAACTCAGGGCCTCACACTTGCTAGGGAGGTACTCTACCACTTGAATCAGTCCACCAGCCCTGTTTTTGTGTTGGTTATTTTCAAGATGGCACAGGCTGGCTTTGAACTGCCATCCTCCTTATCTTTACCTCCTAAGTAGCTGGGATTATAAGCATGAGCCACCGGCCCCCGGCTAATCACAGAATTCTTGATATATGAAGAAGTAACATATAAGCTCAACCTTAAACATTATTACTCAAAAACATTTTTAGTTGACAATAACTTCTTCCAATTTTTATAAAAATCATCTTATTAATATAAATACACATCCATCACTGAACTGCTCAAAAATAACATTTTCAAATCACTGTGTAGCAGAAGGCCTAGTCTACAGACAATGTGAAAGCAAACTGCTACCGTTTTCACTTTCAACCTTAATAAAATGCCCAACATGTGACACACAACTAATAATGTATACTGATCAAATGAACACTGGCATCTCGAATCCAAAGAAAAAAATAAACTTCAATACACAAATCACCTTTTTGTGAATGGATAGCAAGTCAACATTTGTAACTACAATATTCTGAAGTCTGGCGAACACATCAGTCTGCTTTGGCTTTACAGAAACAGAGGCATCCATTCCTGAGGGAGACATAGCATTTACAAAATTTAAAATAAAAAAAAAATTCAAAAAACAATTAAGATTTAAGATATAGGGTGAATAAAAATGACTCATTAGTAGACATATTAGCAGAATCAATTTCTGTGTATGTGGTACCCAAGAAAGGTTATAATACCTTTAAATACTACCTGTATCTCATACACAAAAATTGTGCAGATTTTAAAACAAATATCACCCAATTTCAAGGAAATTAACATTTACCCAAAAACAATACCCTGTGCACTGGCAAGATCAGAACTGGGCCCTTGGGAAGATTTTATATTTTTAAACAGCATCTCACAAGTATTTACTATTAAAACTGTTGCTCCAGTAACTACAAATACATGAACATCATTTTATAAGAGCTTTTATTTCTACACATAAACTATGTAGTAGTATTAGTGCTGACTTTTTTGCCTTTTTAAATACTGTTTACAATGTATCAGGTATCTTAAACCTCATATCAACCTTACAGATAATTACTACTTCATTTTATAATAGGGGGAACTAAGACATAGAAAGGTTAATTAATTTGCTCAAGGTGAGCCAGTGTTAGAGTCAGGATTTGAACCCCAGCAGGTACTCCAGAACTTGTAGTAAAATCTGAACAATCAGAGCAAGCTGCTTCATCTTGTATCAAGTTCCTGACAGGAAAAGTTTGCAAATGTTTTCCAGAACTTCTTTTTCTATGATATATATACCTATCTATACATATAAAAGCATGAAATATAAGAGAAACAGGTACATGACATGTTTTTAACTCTGTGAGATGTTGTAATGATATTCATTTCAATGTAACCACAATAAGAGATTAAGCCTCAGATAGACAGATACTGATTTTTAAATTTAATTTTTTTGGCAGTACTGGGCTTGAGCCATGTCCCCCCCAGCCCTTTCCTGCCTTAAATTATTTTTCAGACAGGGTCTCACTGATTTTTTTGCCCAGACTGGTCTCAAAAACCATGATCCTATCTCCACCTGCTGAGTAGCTGGGATTACAGCTGTGTGCCACCATGCGCCACCCATATTCTGAAATTTTTAAACACATAAGGAATGTTTCCAGGCAATAAGAAGAAATTTACTTTGGCTGGGAGTATGGCTCAAGTGCTAGAACATTAGCTTAGCAAGCAAAAGGTTCTGAGTTCAAACCCTAGTACTGCCAAAAAAAAAAAAAGAACAAATTTATCTTTAGCATTTCAAAGTGTGTTTTTTTTTTTAACAGTGCTTGCAAGTCTTCCATAGAAGCAAATCAAAGAACTCCCCACATGTATGAGGTCATTTTTCCTGGATATTTATGTAAAGAAACAGAAAGACCTACACCAATGAAAATTACTCACCATGTATTTTAATATCTGCTATGTTACACTTCTGATCACAAAAAAAGACATTAAAGGCATTTAATTCAGCTGTGACCTTTAAATCGAACACATCCTCTTTAGAAATAGTGCTGGATACTGAAAAGTAATAGAAACTTTGTGATTGGCAAAATGCTAAGATGCTATACAACACAAAACAATGTTTTTTTTTTTTTTGAGGATGGGAAGCAAACAAGTCATTGTTGATCTTACAGTGTGCTAAATACATATACTGTTTAATAATGTTTCAAGTAAAAACAAACAAAAACCTCCAAAATGCCTTGAACAACTGGTGGATTTGCTATCTCAAATAAGCAGACACCAAGTGGAGTTCCCATAGTGGGCTAACTAAGCAATTTACATCAAGACTACTTTCCTCACATCTTTTTTTTTTTAATTTTTTTCTTTTCTTTATTGTTGTGCTGGGTAGGGGTACACTGTGGCATTTACAAAGGTTCTTACAATGTATCAAACATATGATATTCGAATTCACCCTCTCCACCACTGTCCTTTAGCCCCCATCAATCAGTTTCCTGAAAGTTTCAACACCACTTCCCTCTGCCACCTGTGCCAACCCCCACTATGGGTAAAATAATCTTAAATTTATGAAAATAAAACTATATAATGTATTTTAAGCAACCCAAAAGATCAATGTTAAAATAGTATGCAGTATTAATTTTCAAATGCCATCAGACAAAACTAGCATGTTCCATTCCAAATTAACAATAAACACAACTATAAATGACACCTTAATTTCACTATTTTACTAGATAGAAATCCTACTGTAATTTTGTATCTTCTCAAAAAAGAAAACCCTCCAAATCAGAATTCTCAAATCTTACCAATACAAAATTTTTCTTCTGAACTCCTCATAGCATATATTGAATCAAAGAGTATTTAGTAAAACTGAAAGTGATGAATAGTTAATAAAATTTGTATTATTTACTAAAACTTTGGCACTTACAACACGTTATTAAACTATAAAACCAATCTAGTTTCACAAGATTACATGGTACAATTCTGTAAGTAACTCTAAAATAAATTCAATGCCATAAAGGGAGTTAAAAAAAAAACGCACACAAAAACTATGTATAAGAATCATAACTGAATGAACTCTATTGATTTACCTTAGGGCAGGTCCTGATTTATAAATGTAGGCAACATTTTCCTACAAATGTCTTACTGTAGAAGACAGACCTTCCTATAAAATTGTAGAACTATTGGGGATATCTGCCCTCAATCCCCATATGAAGACAAGTTATTTTCCTTTCTTTATAATTCATGTGGTATAAGACAAATCAGGTAGCAAAACCAGAAGACTATTTCTTTGGATTAGCATTATTTGTAATTTATTGTGAGTTTAAACATTGACTTTTTCATTTATTCAATTGTATTATATATATGTTATGTGTACATGTTACATAAAGAAGAGATGTTCCTAAGGATAATATCTCTAAGGATATTAATGTGGCAAGCACATTAAAAATAAAGAAAGAAAACTCTTCTACTCTGGCTTATAATATAAGAGAAAATCTTAGCTGGGACTCAAAAATTAATACCAGCTTTGATAGCGATACTTCTGGACTCCCCCACAAGTGGTTTCAGCTCAGATTCCTTCTCAGAAAAACGCAATTCAGAAGATGGAACAGCAGATGACAAAAAATCCATAAGGGAAAGTAAAGCTTCCAAGTGAAGAACCAAGTCTAAGGATGAAAACGAAACCTATGACAATGAACAATTAAAGAGGCAGATTTCAGATAGGATAACATTTTTATGCTAAACTCTGACATATACAACTAGCACATGAATAGTTCAATTAAGGACCTTTAAAAATTTAGGAATTACATTTAATTCTTGGAATTACTTTTACAATGTTAATCCTTACCAGCTAAAAACAATACCCTGCCCACTGCCATGTGCATCCCTAATTCTAACTTCAATAGGATTTGATGGGCTTTAAGTAAAGCACTCCTAGATACTAGATCATAGTCCTAGATGGACTATGCATGCACAAATGAATTGTGAAAATGTCTGTACTAGGCCCTGCTCTATCCTTGTCCTTAGTCTTATTCCACTACTAAACCTAATACATAATTAGCATCCATTCATACCAGGCCAAATAACCATGGTAATCTAAAATGAACAAAATTCCCTAAAAATATATTATTTGCTTACTCAACAAGTACTAATTAAGAGTTTTGGGAAACGATTGTTTCAGAAATCAATTTTAGTAAGAACTTTATTTCAATCTACTTATTTTATCAATGAAACCCTTACTCTAATTCTAGAACTCACATCCTAAAACTGAAAATGGCTATGAAGCTATGTTTAATCATTAACAATCAGCCTTATAGTGAACTATAACAATCAGGCTTATAGTAAACTATAAAAGATTTACCTTCAGTCTTTGTTTAGTATTGTCATGAATAGTTTTAAATTCTGGTCCATCACTGTCTGCCTACAAATAGTGAATAATTAAACAACTGGGTTACAAACAGTAAAATTTTACACATTGAAAACACTCATTTTTTTTAAGTTTTCGAACCATGCTATTAAAACAGCATAAACATATTTTTATAGGCAAATAAAAATATGCCCAAAACGCTAACCAGATAAGCATGTCTAGTATTCTATCGATGCAAAACCTCAAATTCCCTATGGTACTCTGGAGAAAACATTAGTGTTATAGAGATTAGGTGGACCATCTAAAAGGAAAAATGCTGGTATATCTAAATTGTAACACCCTTGCTTCAGAGTATGGCAGAACTTTGTACTATTTCCATTTATTCAGAACCCTAGGGTAATTCAGAAGGTTAATAAAATCATTCAGGATTTTAGGATTCTTGCACAATTCACCACTATTAACCAATTCAGAGTGAAAAATTTTAAGGGAGAAAACTGGGATATTACACATGAGGGAGAGGCAGGATAAATCACGGAAACTGAGGCATGGGAAACAGCAGCCAAGACTTTAAAAATAAACATGGTACTAATGAATAGCTTGATTAGAAGCATGTAGATACTGCTTTCTTTGCTCTAAACTTCACAATTCACCATTATACTGTAATATTTAGTAAAAATTTTAAAAGAGGAGGGGTGGTGGGGAAGAAGAGCAGTTCTTTCTCCCAATCTTGCTGGCTTGCCCCAAAATAATGAGTGTATGCTGAGAACTGAATAAGGGTACCTTAAAGAAAGAGACTTACTGAGGGTGAGAAGGAGGATATCTTGGGAAAATGTCTACAAAGGAAAATACTTATCACAAAGATGAACACATGTTTTGAAGGTAGCATCTGGCAGGGCCCATCCTTAGTTTAAAGGGATGTTCAAACACCTATGTTATAGTGACCCAAATTTAATGAGCAGGACAACCTTGAAATCACTAGGCCTAACTGATGAGACAGTTTAACAGCAAAAATGACTAATTATACCAGGTGTCAGAACAAAGGGGGGCACTTGTGCTAAGATGAATTACAGCCAAAACCTGTAATCCACCTTTCTTATCATAAATACCCAGATGTCAAAATTGCTCAGTGTGTCTCCCTCAGACTACCCATGCTCTATCTAATAAGAATGTGTCTTTGTTTTCTGCTTGCTTACTCAGCAACTTCTATCAAATTTTCTTAACTATTGTGACTTGTCCAGAAATTGTATTCTGCAGTCAAAGTCAAGGACCTGGGACAAAACCCTGAGTGGCATGTCCCTAACTTAAAGGGAAACTTCACAAACACTCACCAGCCACAGGTTTTTGACAAGGGAAAAATAGGTAGATATATAGATAGATAGATACACAGACACATAGATAGATAGATATAAATAGATAGATAGATCTTAAATAATAAAGAATCCTAAATGTAACAAGGTACCTTCATCAGCAGCATTTTCAGGAGGGGTTCGTTGGTTACATTCGAGGAGTTAACCATATAAAGAGGTTCTCCTTTAGAGTCTAGAAGGAAAAAGGCAAGGCTGATCATTACATCTCTTCAACATTCCCAATGTCTTTAAAACAAGAACAGCCTGATTTATATATGTGTACATATATATGTATACATGCATGTTTATCAAAGCTCAAATAAGGATACACCAAAAAAGGTGAATGAATAATACTGTATATAAATCAGACTTCACTAAACCTGACTTTGAACAAAAAGAAAAAGGAAAGAAACTCGATTAAAACTAACAACAAAAAAACCAAAAATCAGGACCAGTCAATTATAACTCTTAAAATATCTGGTACTTATATTACTCCCATTTGAACAAATCATAATATACTAAAGAAAAAAGCCATAAAATACACAAAAGTAGGGATTAATATCTTCTTTTTTTAAAGATACTGTACAGATCCTATAAACTTTAATCACCCAAGGCAACATTAAAAGTTAGTTAGCTATAATTTAAAAAGGTTCAAGAGAGACACTAAACAACTTAGTATCTGTTTGGGAAGAACGGAGTAAAATTACAAGCTGTTAAATTTTTCATCCACATACTTCCTTGTTTAATTTTCATTTTTTACAAACATATATTAATGTGATTGAAAACAAATTTTATAGTTTATGTAATTTAAAAATAAATATAAGTAAATAAATAAAAATTAGGTTTCCTAGTAAATTAACTCAACTTTTCAAAAGGAATCCTTCAGCTCTGTCCCTGGATTCTGACATAGTGTTGATGAAATGGTGTCTTTTATATGTACTGACATATTAAATACAGACAGTGAAGATGTATGGTTCACTTCTTAGATATATTCTACTTTGTGCTAAATGAAGTACATATTTATAGCCTTAGTTAATGATAACTACACATATAGCAAATTTTTAAGTATCAAATTCCTTGTATCAGTGTAATAAATTAAATCTAAGTAATTATGGTGAGATTATATTTAATGCTGATGCTGATAAAGATTGTCTGCCTAATGAATGCCCACAGATGAAGCTGCATGCTTACCAGTGAAATCAAAGCACCGCATGCTAATTTTTTTTAGATATGCTTTAGCAATCATGTCATAGGTTTTCACTTTGGCCTCCACTCCAAGCTGCAGGATGTTTAGTTCGTGGATAGGTCTTCCTTTCTTTTCTGCTGTTTTCATTAGAGTAACCACAACCTAGAAGAATGTACCAGTATTGCCACAAACAACTTCACTAACACACTCAAGGCAAGAATTTAATAATCACCTTAATGGTAAGACAAAGAGATTCACACAACGTAAAGACATTTACTTTCATTTTTGCCTGAAAATTGCCTAGTGTTACTTACCTCAGAAGGCAAACATACTAGTTCAGTTTTGAAGCATCACTATTTTCTAGTGGTTTTCAAAAGTAAAGTTCCAAAACAAAAAAATGCAATTTGTTCTAATTTCCAGAAGTCATAGTGTGCTGGGTAGTTTTTCATCTAAAAGTCTGAGAGATCAGCAGTTAACTTTTATACAGTCCTCAAGCAAGGTTTCTCAATCATGGCACTACTGACATTTTGGGTTGATATGTCTTTCTAGTAGGAAGTTGTCTCGTGCACTGTAAGACATTCTAGACGCATCCTTGCCTCTACCACAAGTTGCCAGTAGCAACCTCCCCATGTATAGTGACAACCAAAACGTTTTAGACAATGCTAAATATTCACTTAGCAGGTGCAAACTGCTCCCCCTCCATTCTACCCACTGTCCTAAGGGACAGGAACTATTACAACACATATGAAAAATGATATTAAAAGGGATTTGCAGGTGTTTTTATTTAGACATGCTAAGTACTTTGCCAGAAAAATGATTTATTGATCAATGTTTCAATTGCCAAAGCTTAAAAATCTTCAGTAGCTGGTGTTAACCATAAAAATATTGGAAGCTTAACATTAATTTCAAAGCATGTATTTCAGATTGAAAACTAGAACTCATTTGTTTAAAAGTTGATTATTTTCAGCTCAGAGAAAAAGTATAACCTCTACAGAGCTATTTAATAATAAAGAGGTTTTGGAGAAGGTCCTTGCAGCTCCTGGTAACCACTATGCTTCCTCACTTATTCACATACGGACCTGTTCCTTTCTCCTTTGTCCCAGCCCAATTCCTGATGCCCTTTTCTAAGACTATTTCTTATTTTCCTTTAAAAACTCAACTCAAATGTCACTTCCTCCATGAAATGTTTCCTTACCCTCTCAGTCTGCTTAGATGACCCCTCCTTACCATCAACACCACAAGTGCCAACAGCACCCCACACTGACCAAATTTCAATGGAAACATTAATACTTCATTTGAGGTCAGAGTCTATGTGTTTTACCAATATGTCCTTAGCATCTCACATATCCAATGAATATTCGTGAATGTGTAAATAAAGAAGAGGAAAATCTACTTAACCTTTCCTCAAAACTCTATAAATGGAAAGCGCATAGTAGTAATATAACATTTTTAAAATGTTGACATGCTGTGTTTTATTCTATCTAGTTTGTAACATTTGTAGCCTTTACTCCCATTTCCTGTGTGGGTAGCAGGAAAAGGGAAGAGTCCTTTTTCCCTCACTTCTCCCTACTCCACCTTGTTATACTAAAATAAATCCTTGCTGAAAAAAAGAAAAAGTGTTTCTAAAATTTACAAAGGATTTTTGTAATCACTATTTCCTTCTCCTGTCTTTTTCATATGAAAATCCAAAACCAACCTCATTCCAAGTGTCCCGAACTCACTAAAAAGAAAATTACAAGACTAGAGATATAATTCAAGCAGTAGAGTACCTGCCTAGCAAGCATGAAGGCCTGAGTTCAAAACCTACTGTCACTAGAAAAGTGAGAGAGAGAGAAAGAAAGCTGGTTATAGAAAATGCTACCATTTTCTCTATGAAATATTGTGTCTCCCAAATATAACTCATCCTCAATAAACTCAAATTTTAAAGCACCATTGTGACATGAAAATAGCCTATGGAAGATATTTCTCATATACATTAATTATATATATATTAATTACTGAAAAAAGTTTAGTTTAATAGAAGTAATTCTAAATATCCATTTATTCATTCATGTTACAAAAACAGGTTAAAATTACACACCTCCTTTATTTCAAAATTCAGCAGTATGTTAATGATGTCTACAGATCTGATTTCTCCCACTCTAGCTGTTAAAGTATCTTGTGACGCACACACATCTTGTGACATGGAGATTTCACAGGACTCTATAATTTCACCTAAAAATATTTTAAAGAAATTCATTCACTTCTATTCACACATTTCTTTCACAAATACTTACTGAAGGACATCTATGAGTACTCTAAACCTGGTGATGGCACCGAAAATCCATTAGTAAGTAATAGCTATGGCCTTCAGAAAACTCATGGCCTGTTATAAGAGACACAAACATTTAAGATACAAACAAAAAGAGGCAGGCCATGGGCTGGCGGAATGGCTCAAGTGGTAGAGTGCCTGCCTAGCAAGTGTGAAGCCCTGAGTTCAAACCCCAGTGCTGCAAAAAAAAAAAAAGAAAGAAAGAAAAAATAGGCAGGCCATACATATTAAGTGGGAAAATGTTAATGCATACATAAAATGAACAGAAAGAAGCATAACATTATTACAGAGAGGAAAAGAAAGGATTAACAGAGAATATAACATTCAAATAGAGCTAAAGACATTCACACAGAGAAGACAATCCTTCCTGTAGTCCCAGCAACTCAGGAAGCAGAGATCAGAAGAATCACAGTTCAACACTGGCCTGGGCAAAAAGTTATGGAGACTCCATCTCAACAAATAAGCTGAGCATAATGGAGTGTGTATCTTTAATCCTAGCTATGCAGGAGGCATACATAAAAGAATCATGATCCCAAGCCAGCCTGATCAAAAGCATAAGAACTTAGCAGAAAATAAATTAAAACCAAAAAGGGGTGGGGATGTGGCTCAAGTGATACTGTACTTGCCTAGCAAGCATAAGACCCTGAGTTCAATTCCTGATGCCACAAAACAAATTAAAAAATTACCATTTGCTTATCTACTAAACTGCAAAAGAGACACATGTACATTATGCCACCTACTGTCAGTCTCTTACCTGTCTCTTGTACTTTTGGTTTCGCTTTATTCAAGTCTGCGGTAGCCTCACCAAGATTTTCTGCTAGTATTCTAAATAAAAGATCAAGATCTTCCTGATTTAGACAAACCTGTGAAATAGTACATTAAAAAAATAAATTTCATTTTTAAGTGAAATAATTTTAAAACAGAAAATAAACTTCCAGTAATAAAACAGAATAATCCTAACATTAACTGAAAAGGTATGCTGATGGAGTGGCTCAAGGGGTAGAGCACCTGCCTAGCAAGCTTGGATCCCTTAGTTCAAACCACCAGTACCACCCAAAAAAAAAAAAAATTGAAGTTATATAATCACTACCTTATCTTACCTCTACCTATGTTTTTCAAAAATAAGAAAATGTTTATAGAAAAACAGTATGATTCTAAGTCAATCTTAGCTCCAATAACTTATATTATCTAGACAAAGTTAATTATGATTAAAGGAATCTGATCTTTATTTAAAAAGTGACAAATTCTGAAAATGCATTCATTTCACTTTTCAAACTCCAGTGAAATAAAAAGGCTAATTTAAGATTAAAAATACACACTTCCTCAATCCTATAATATTCCTAAAATTAAAGCATGCATGAATTTCATATGAGAGGGAATATAATATGCTAATAAATGATTTGTAAATAATCTCTGCCAGTGTGTATAGATGGAAAATTTAGAAGTTAAGACATGCTTAACTGAAGATTAAATTCCACTGAAAAGAATAATGGCCTTGTGGGCCAATGTCTCACTGAAATTCTTCTTGTATTGTTCAATAAAATAGTCTACGTTTACTTGGATCTATACTAAGAAAATATTCAGAGTTTAAAATGTCAATAATGAAATTTCCCTCACTCATGTTCTTACATTCACTGAATCAAGATGTCCCTTGATTTCCACAATGGGCACCTTGTGGTACCAACTTGCAGCTAGATTCCGATTTACAAAAAACTTCAAGTTAATTGGGTTCAACAGTTGAATATCAGGATGGAAGATACCTGGCTGGATCACTGTCCTAGTGAAAAACAGAAATGAAGTGTATACACAGAAGAATTTTTTTAAAGCAATTATTTTCTGCTCTAGCTACTGATTTGAAACAGTGCTGCTTGAGTAGTTTAAAAACTAAATTTGAAATTAGCTTAACCTATCATCCATTAAGAGGGACAGATTAAAGTATATGATAAACAATAAACCATTAAGAAAAAAAATCAGTATATGAAAAAATGAACACATTTTTAAAAGAAATTCACACTGATGAAGACATGCTAAGAGCCAATATAGTTATTATGAGCCACATAACAATGTTTCAATGATAGAACACATGTACCTCAGTGATCTCATAAGCAAATGGAGCTGAAAAGGTTCTATTGCTTAGGGACATTGTAGCTGCCATGCAATCCTAGTACAACTCATTAATCATGTCTTCACAGAGATGCTGGTATAAATAAACCTACTGGCTGTCACTCATGTAAAACTGTAGCAAACATATACAATTATGTACAGTACATAGTATTTTATAATGATAATAAAAGACTGTGTTACTGGTTTATGTATTTACTATATCGTCCATTTTAGAATGTACTCCTACTTATAAAAAAGTTTACTATAAAAAACTTTATCACGTTACACTGGTAGCAGTCTCATACATCGCATGTTTACTGTGTATCCCAAGTGCATCAAGAGACAATGTCAAATAATTGATCTAGATTTGTGTAAGAACACACGGTAATGCTCACACAATGATAAAATTATCAAAAATGCCCTTCTTAAAGTGTTTGTTTATTATTAAGCAATGCATGTGCATGACGGTCTCGCTATTGGTTCTGATACTAAAGACAACAATGGCGAAGGAAACACTATCAAAGTGAAACAGTAGCAGTTTCTAAGGCATTTCATAGAGCACTTCTCCAGGATTATTTTCTTTACTCGGTTTATATTCATTTTTTTATTCCAGATATTACATATTCTTTGATAAGACAAAAAAATGATTAAAATCTTTTGTGTCTTCATGTTCCATGTAGTGTGAACACTGAGGATACAGTATTACTTACACAGTATTCCTGCCAAAAATGTCTAAAAACAGAATCAAATCATGAGGCATCACACCTAAATTGAGAGTTGTTCTAAAAACTACCATCATCGTGACAGATACAGAAAGGCTAAAGAACTATTGCAGAAGAAGTGTCTATTAGAACAGAAATCCCCCTCAGCAGAAGAGGACACAAATAAATGCCATGTGGGAGACTCACTATAATGGATATCACTGGAACAACTGATACACTGGTACAGCCTGAATACTGCATATTAGGTATTATACCAATATTAGACTTCCAGAATTTAATAATTACATCATCATTAGCATTAATGTTAATGAATATTCTTGTTTTTAGAAGATACATGACTAACATATTTAGGATAAAGGGTCAAGATGGCTATCCTGAAATGATTTAGCAAAAACTGTCTTAAATAACATAAAGATATATATACACATATAATTGAAATCCACTAAAACCTGTTAAAAGATGGAAAGGAGGGAAGGATATTAAAAAAGAGCAATAAAGGGAGTGAATTTGATCAAAGTACATTATATGCATGTACAGAAATATCATAATGAAACCCCTTTATAAAATTACTTTACACCAATAAAAATACTCACCAAAAAATAAATAACATATACATAGATTAAAGCAGATACAGCCATGTATGTTGGCATACACCTTTAATTCCAGCACTTTAAGAGGCTAAGGCAGGAACATCATGAGCTCAAGACCAGCCTGAGCTATTTAGAGAGTTCCAGTCCAGCCTGGCCAACACAGTGAGACCCTATCTCAAAAAAAAAAAAAAAAACCAAAAACCAAAAAACAACAAAAAAAACCTTTTTTTAAAGCAAAAGTAAATAAATTGGTGAATGTACATTAAGGATGTATACATACACTCACAGAATTATTTTTGCAATCTTTCCATAGTTTTAAAATTTTCCAAAATAAAAAGTTGATTTAAAAAAACATGAGCGTTGCTCATCCCATGGGACAGCCAGCAGCTTCTTGACTGAACATAGAGCGTGTCTTGTTCCAACCCAGTGTACCTATCTCTCCCTAGTGACTATGTTTGATGTTTTGGCAAGAATAACATTTTGTTTTCAAGAAAAATTACTCAACGGGAATGTGGAAGGCAAACACAAAAAGGTTTAGGTTCCAAATGTTACCAGCACGTGCGGTGTGTGTCCATGAATATGGTAAGCATATTCGGTGTGCAGCTAGGGTGAAGCCAGCAAGAGGTGTGTATGTCACTATGAAATGTTTGAAAAGAGATAAGCTGACTGCTTGATAATCATTCTCAGGTGTAAAGCTCCAAGTGTAAATAAAAGTGGCGTTTAACAAATCTGTTCAGAACAAAGTACAGCTGACTGTATATACCAAGAACCACGCTAAAGAAATGGTTGAGAGCTGCAGATTTCCACAAGAGGGAGAGGAATCCAGAAGCTCCACTCTGTACTTCACTCTACTTTTTGTATAGGGAAGGGGGATGATGGGAAATCATGGAGTTACATTGTATTTAAACATAAAAATGAACTTGATAACTCTCCTTGATTGAGTAGAGCGTCAGTGTTGCTTTAACTTAGTTTACATTTTTTACTTTTAAATAAGCAGCAACGGATTGTTTTAAGGAAGTATTGTGACTGTAAAATTGGTAAATATGAGTGTAACACAGCTGTGTGGCAGCTGTGACAGTTCGGTTGGGCGAAGGAGTGGTGATGGACTCATTAAAATCATATATACTTGAATAGTCCATTGACCAAAGCTCTTTATAGACTGTCGTGTAAGTGCGGAATCACAGACTGTTAAACATTGCTGGGACTCTGGCACAGAGTCCAAGAGCTGCTGGGACCTCTCCTATCATGTCAAACTTGGACCTTTTTTTTTTTTTCCCTTACTGGTTTTAGAGACAAAATCCTAGAATCCATATAATTTGCTGGAGTCATTCTGATCCACCACGTAGATCTGTATTTAGTATCATTTGGATTTGGAGAAGTGTCAATTACATTATGGCTGTGTAATAAAATTTTTATTAAAACTGCATCATCCTGTAGCCACTTTGCCACTACCTCCCCACCTGCCGCTGCTAAAACCTTCATGCCAAGATGCCAAAGCACAGAGCAGGGAGAAAAGCCAACCAAAGAAGACTGCAAGTGAACATGGCAGCCAGGTAGCCTGTCTGGTGATTGGATGGAGGCCCAGCATCTGCTTTGTCACAGCCCAGCAGGGCCTCTGAGTCAGGGTCTCCACCAGGCATGACACTAGCTTTGTCTACTGGCTGGGCTTCTGGGTGGGTCACAGTATTTCTTGTGCTGGAGAATTGCCTCAGTACCCCCTGCACCCCTAATGTGGTTTCAGTGTTGGAGGGCGCGGCACCCAAGGCTGTTCTATACTTTGTTCAGTTCTTTCCAAGAATCAAGAGGGCCAATGTTCTCATACCTAGCTCATGGCAGATACAGGTCTGTGTGTCTGTCTTGCTTCTGACAGATGCAGGGAAATTCTGCTGTCTACAACTTCCCTCCAAAAAGAATGCTTTTGTTTTCTTTGTTTCTGTGAAATCCTGACTTGTCACTCAAGTTGTACAGATATTTGTAAATAAACTTTGCCATTTTTAAAAAAATAAATAAATAAATAAACAGATCTATATAATAGAAGTACAATGGGTATGAATTTCAATGACCATAAATTTCATGGAAAAAATTAATACTTAAACCCACAATTACTGAACAAGCATACCTGGAAAGCTTAAGTTTTGTGAGCTGCACATCCATTCTATCAATGACTGGAGGATTTACAGAGTCTTCATCAGACACCACACTGAACTGATTTTGAACTCTAATTAACCCAAGATCTACCACAACAGCATTGGTGGAAATGGAAGACTGGGGAATGACGATAACTGGTGCTTTCAAATCAATATTGACAGAAACACGAAAGCTCCTCTGGGCGAGATCTTTCACACTTGTGGCAGCTTTTTCTGCAGCCTGGGCCGTGGCAACACTCAGAGCCTCTTTGGCTACCTGGAAATTGTTCAGGAAGTTCTGTGGACACAAGAGTATAAAAGGAGAAATTCTAACAGAAACAGGCACATAAAGAATTACACCACCTCTGTCATAAACATGCTAACTTTTTTCCAACAAACAACTTTCATTTGAGCCCTATTTTTCTAGTGTTAGGAAGGAATAATTGACCATCTACCCATAGTTACAAGCTGTTCAGCTATGGTTAATGTTATATTGCTAAGGGACAGAGGAGGGAAAAATTCAAAGTTTTAGTACTCAAGAAATTTGTCTTATGTTCAAACAAAAATTATTTCAGTCCTAGATAAAAATCACTAAATGATTCAGATTTCAACTGTAAAAGAAGGGTTCTTCTGATCTACACATTCAGACATAAATATGTAAAATCAAAACAATACTCCCATAAACCCAAAGTTTACAACACTTGAAATCCTATTTATAAGGCTTATTTGTTTTAAAGTTGAAAAATCAATATGTAGTGATTTTACCAGAAGTGACATAAGGAACTTATGAAGATAGACGATCTGAATGCAGCCAACATTCAGTGATATCACACCATCCACTTTGGACATGTCAGCATATGAATCCCCTTCTGTAGCATCTGGATACAAATCCAAGTTAAAGCGAAAAACTTCATTTCCCATAAGTGACACAGCCTGAAAATCAGAAATCTGAATGTACTCTATCCAGGAAAGCAATGACAAAATAAAATCCTCATTTAGAAAAAAAGAAAAGGTCATATTTATAATCTTTATAGAAACAAATATTTTATTGAGATATATTTTAAATAAAATATATTTTAAAATAGAATATCTTATGTAATAATCAAAAAATACTATCTATTTACTATTACCTACTTTTTTATGAACTGTCTTAGGATCAACATCTGTGACAATAATATTTTCCAGTCTGGCAAAAAGTGTCTGCTTTTTGACTGAAGAGAAAGGGAAGAATCAAGGCCTGAAAAAAAAATGTATTATTATAATTCCTATAGCTCTATCACGAATAAGATATTTGTTTCCATAGTATGATACTATTTTGGGGTATTATTTTTTAACTTAGCAATATCTGAACTCCCAACTGATAAATAAGTTACAATATTAGTTATTTTCAGTTTTATAAAAACCAAATCTGTAAGTTGATTAAAAATAATTGTCTGAATTTTCAGTCTCATGGGAATAAACTGTTAGGACCCGGAATCCTATTCCCCCGAGAGACAGAGAGCCAGGCGTGAATGCAATCAACAAAGCAGAGTTTATTGGGCTGGCTAGCCAGGGTCGAGCTCCCACACGGACATATGTCCGGTTAGGAAAACACGACCCTGAGCCTCTTTAGGGGAAATCTTATATAGACCGCGGTGGCATGCATATTTTCGTTATCAACATTGGGCAAGCAGGCAGAGCACATCTTGCGCGTACCTCACATCTTGCACGTACTTCACATCTTGCATGTACCCCCCGCTCACATTCCCCACATTCTATATGCCCTAACTGAGCCCTGCCGCATTGCTTATCTTATCTACATGGGGTGTTTGGTACTGGTTTCTCCAACAAGGGGGTTGGGGCCCACTGAGACCTCCTATTCCTTTCAAAACATACCTAGTGCAAAGAGATCATCTCAGGATGAGTAATGCAAAGTAAATAAAGTTAATCCTTTACACCTCATATCTAGTCATTTACATGGAGGCTACAAAAACTTCATGAATATACTCAGACTAGTAGATGTATTAGATTGGAAAGGATGAAGAAAAAAACCCTAGCTTTCTGGTTTGTAAAGAATTTCATTAAACATATGTATTCTTTACCTTTAACATTACAATAGGCTAATAACGGTAAGGGGCAGAAAACAACTAGAAGGAACTTCAGTACCTCTTGCCTAAAAGAACATAATGACCTCACAGGTTTTTTTCTTCATTAAAGGGTTGCTTTTGGGGCTTAGGAGGTAACTCAATGACTGAGTGTACACAAGGCTCAATCCCCAGCATAAATGAAGAGAAATGATAGTTACACATAACTATATAAAAGCACATATAAAAGTAATACAAAGGTAAGATATTAACAAAAGGTAAATAAAGCCCAATAAAAGTCAAGCACATTCACAGACCTTCCCCTGAATGCTGGACTGACACTTCCTCCAGCCCAACAAAAGTGTTTCCACACTAACACTAGTACCCCTTCCACTTACTAGTCAACTCTCACACAGGTCCCTAACACAGGCTTGTGTGTGTGGTTCACTTTTTTGCTAAGATCCTGACCAATATCTACATTTCAAGAAGAAAGCATCCAGTTCCAACTCCATCCCGCCAGCTGTTACATTGCTCACAGCCCTCTATTTGTATATTCTTCAGCATTGCAAAAAAAGAAAGAAAAATACTTATTTTTAAATAGTATGAGAACAGTTACCTTGTATCTTGATTTCAGCGATACTGCTCTTCTCATCACATACAAAGATACAGAAAGCATTCAACTTGGCAAACAGCCTAAAGCCAATAATGTCACTATCTTTAGAGGATACTGTCACTAAAAATAAAACAAAAAATTCTATCACGGTGGATTCCAGTAATCGAAATTCTATAAAGAGTTCTTCCCTATATTAAGTGAACCACAACTCTTTTAATACTTCTTTTACTTCAGCCTATAGAGTTCATTCTTATGAGATGCTGCTTCTGTAACTTAAATGCAAAAACACATCTAAAATAAATAAGAACACTGAAATTCAAAGAAGCTAAATAAGTAGTTCAGGTAGCAGAGTCAGAATTTGAACTTAGTTTTTTTTTTGTGGTACTGGGATTTGAAGTTGGGGTTTCACACTTGCTAGGCAGGCACTCTACTACTGGAGCCACTCTGCCAGCCAAACTTAGTTCTTCTTTCTGATCTGAAATCTGGGTGTTGGCCAATTAAATGCTATCCCTGAACCCCTACCTTTGTGTCTCTGGGTCTTCATTTCCTCAAAGACAGAACGTTTATGGAACCCCTTTAGGAGCCACTGAGGGTGGAAGAAGAACTCAGGTCTTTCCATATTACCTACACAAAGGCAACCCTTACCACCAAAATAAGAACAAAAAGCTAGTATATTCTCTTTTCTTAAAATTTCATATTTTTTACTTGTTGTGCTGGGTGGGGGTACATTGTGCCATTTACAAATGTTCTTATGATATAACAAGTATGTTCTTAAAAACAACAGTATTATATTTGCCTATGAGTTTTGGGGGGAGAAGGGCTGTTTTATTTTGTCTCTACCACATGCTCCCCACCATGATATTCTGCCTCACCACACACAATCCCAAAAGCAGCCAAGCCAAGTGACCATGGGGCGGAAATGTTTAAAACTGTGAGCCAAAGTAAGACTTTCCCCCATTGTTTCCATCAGGTATTGACAAATACCTTTCTGCAGAGATGAGATTTTTTGTTTCTCAGCTGAACTCTGTACCTCCTTGGTGACAGTCATGTTCTGACCGTCTGATGGAATAATGGTGGTCAAGTAGTTAAGAGACGAGAGAAGAGCTTGTGTTTGTAGCAACAGATTTAAAGATGCAAAGGCCACCTAAAATGGTTTGAAAAATAAAATTAGTTCTTCTTGGCCAACTGTATCTATAGCCTTCATAATGAACACAAAAGGCTGCCGGCCAAACTCACATCAATGCTTCCACAACTCCCTCAGGCAGGGACTATATGAAGAACAAAGGACATATACTCAGGGGTATAAGAAAGAATCACAGTAACCTAATCACTGCACTTCCCCAGAAAAATGGTGATGGGAGTCAATAACCTGCCTCCTGTGGCTATCCCAGTATTCAGTATACATATAGCTTCTCAGATCTTCAATAGACTATTTATTATTATTATTATTTAAAACATGTAAGTCAGAATAACAAACTTCAGAACCACTATGCGCTATGTCTAGAAATGATTTCAAATATGGTATCCATGAAATTTAAATATAAAAAGTACAACTGCAAGAAGTTCTGATATTAAATGATCTTCTAAAACTATCACAGTGGTCCTAGCATTGTGGTCCTAGCATTTAAAAAAAGCACAGAACAAATGCCTTTAGGAGAAAAAGTACATTCAAAAAAATGATGCTACAAAACGAAAATAACATCACAAATTCCTTCCAGGAATGTATGGTTTCCTAAAAATGAAATAAAATCAAATAAAAATCTCTTTAAAGAACAAAATTTTTCATTTCCTCAAAACACCAAGTGGACATAAAATAGTAAGGAAAGTTTGCAGTATTACAGCAGCTTCTCTCATCTCTCCAAGAGGGAACAAAAGCTCATCACTTTCTTTTTCAAGAAACCCACAAGCATTTTTTTCCTCTTCTGCTACACTATTGCCTAAGTAGTAATGGCTTCAAACGTATTTCATGTCTCTCCTGGTATTTGATACAATTTCTTGCGCTGGTATTACTAGATGGCATCTAGTGTGGTTTGTTTAGAATCCTGCTAGTTCTTATAAATCAAAATTCTCTTGTCTGTAGCATTTCCTTAGTTACAAATGTTACTGAAACTTTTCTAAACATTAGGATACAACAGTAAGTCAAAACAACAACTTTACTAAGCTGAATCATAGACACAAATCATGGTGAGTATCTACAAGGTTAATTTATAACTTCTAGTGTTTGTTGATTATGTTGTCAAGTTGCCAGTCAATATTCCTTAAAGGACACTGAAGATTTCCAGAGTAGACTACAGTACACCGGTGTATCCACAAGCATGTGGTTCAGAAGACCGACATCAAGAAAAGCGCAAATGCTCAGGATGCACAGAGCTCACACCCTGAAATTACTCAAGTTTACCTGTATTATGTGTGCAGTAGGTTTGAGAATCCATAACTTCAAACCACGTGGAGCAGGCTACATTACTGTCACAAAAATTACTGTTGCACACTTTAATACAACTCACCCAAAACTCTATTTTTTCTATGCTTTTATCTCAATTACTACAGGTAACCAATCATTTTTCCAATTACACAATTCAACTTCTTCTAAAGACCTTTCAACAAACATAGAATTTTCACTTTATCCTTTAAATTAAGCACAATAACTTTTACCTTGCTTTTGGGGTACTGTCTGCTTTTTAGGAGACATATTTTCACAAAATTAAGGGCAGGAAAACACTTAGCAGATCACACAACCACTTAAGCACAACTAACATAACACTGGACTGACTTGAGAGCTTCTCCAGGCCAACGTAATGTGTACAAAGGAATTTAAATTTTTTGTTTTTGAAATTTCTTTTGATTTATTATTTTTTTATTACTCTTAGTCAAGACCATGTGTAATAAGTCTACAAATAAGGCAGGCTTACTGCATTTTCAAAAAGAATATATTACCTTAATAAAAATTTATTACCTTAACTGTTTGTTCAGTTTTTTCAAAAGTGGTTTGAAAATTAGGTCCATTCTTATCCGCCTGAAAAAAAAAACACAAACCAAAAGTTCTGAAGAAGGAGCTAAAACCAAAGTAAATAAACCCTTCATTTATTATGTTAATTCATTTAGTTTTAGCTGTAAATGTATGTGCCCTACTCATTACTTATGGGAAACTGAGGTTGGAAGGTGTAAAAGTCATCTTGTCCAGACATAACCTAATGCTTAAATCCTTCTATAAAGTTTTTGGCAAGTCTATTTTTTTAATAACTCCAATGAAAGAAACCTCGATTCCTTAGAAATTCAGTCACTGGAAATAGCTTTGATATAATAAGATCTTCATATTATGTCAAAAAAAAAAATCTCTATCTCCTATCTTAACTACTCATTGTCCCTAGTTCTGTCCCTTGGAAAAAAGCATAGTAAGTTCAAACTCAAAAGATTTATTTCCTCTGAGAAGCTTCTGCACTGACTAGTTTCCCTACCTCTCTGCTTCCATACTGCTTTGTGCTTTTCTTTACTAGAGAATCAGTCACTATATTTACAATGAATTGATATTTCATCTTAATTGTGCTTTACTTGCCTCTTCCTCTTTTCTAGTTTATAATGTCCTCAAGAACAAGGAATATATTTCCCTTATTTTAGGAATATTTTTAATCTCTGCACCTAAGACCTGCCAGGATAGACATTTAATAACACATATTAAATAAAGAATTTGTGAATGATTCAAACAAATCCACTAATCTTGAATGAAGCTAAATACCATCAGTTCTTTCAGCACTTCTCATGTGCTATATGTATTTTTTCACATGCTACATTTTTTAGACCCTTACAAATTCTGACAGTTCTCTTCTGAACTCAATCCAATTTGAATTCTTCTTTTGATGTAGCATACTTAGCCAATGTCAGTATATAACTATAGACAAATGGAAAAAACAGTAGTAGACATCTCGGTAATTAAAACCTAATGAACATCCAGAACTATTAGTAATACACTGTCATCTTTTTCTTTCCAGAGATACAGTTTGGAGTACACAAAAAATGTATTATCATTCTATAGCCCTTACCTTAATATATTTCACTTTTAAAAGCTCTAATCCAGTTTTGTCAGAAGAGCTAACCAAGTGAAGGGGCTTCTTTCTGGAACCTAGCTTGAAGAAAAGGGGAAAGATTTTTTAATAAATTGTTCTTATAAAATGATGGAACTTTTTAGATATTTTTTTCTTTTTAAAAATTGTTAATTAGGGGCTGAAGCATGGCTCAAGTGGTAGAACTTTTGCCTAGCAAGTGCAAGACCCTTAGTTCAAACACCATGCTGTAAGAAAAGAAATAATAAATACTGCTAACTAAGCTTTAAAAGATTATCTATAAATATTTTTCATGATTATCAAACACTAAAACCATCACTGGTGGAGAAATAAACTAATCCAAATCTTTACCTTAGGCATCTAATTTATTAAAAACATGAATATTTATTTTATATGATTTCAAATATGTACTCAAAAATAAAACTTTTCTAGATAATTTTAAGGCCATCTGAGCACTTAAAGGTATACAATGTACTAACAGGAATAACAATAAGGAAATATGAATTTTGGTTTATCTCCATCCTTACCAAAACTAATTTAACTTCAGTTTTCCCAATTACATATCAAGGAGGCTGGACTGGAACAATATCCTGTTGTATTCTAAAAGTCTATGAAAAATGCTTCATTTTATATGTATTAGAGAACTTAAACAATTTTTCTTTGTTTAGACAGAGAGAGAAAAGATTTACATAGAAAAGACTTCAAGGGAGATCTGCTCAATTTTCTTTTTAGCATACAAACAAGAGGTACTCCCAGCTGCCCTCTAGACCCTGTGCAGCTGCCAAGGGGTTGCCTCCAATGGTGGTGCAGGGAGAAGTAACACTCCACCATCTGTCCATCCTCACCACATCTAGTTCTACAATTCCTGCTGATGAGACATCTCAACAGTCTCCCTTGATCACTGAGACCTTAATCTCCCAAATTAAAAACAGCCTGGAAAATATATTTTAAAATAGCCTAGAAAATTTATTATCTAAATTTTTACCCCAATATAATGTAAATTCTAGTTTAAGACATTGCCTGCAAAAAATTAATCGCATAAAATATTATTTTTCTCCTAAACTGGTTTATTTTAGTTTCGACTACTTTAAAAAATTGTAAAATGTAGGTCTTTACATTTGACGAAAGTAGGAGGCAAATTATAATTACTACAGATTAATCCATTCCTTCACACTTCAAATATCTGAGCACACAAGATATATACTAAAAATGAATAAATGATAAGAGCTCCTAAGACAGTTAACTTTGCATCTTATAATTTTTATTTTTATAACAGGTACTTCTTGTAATACATGAATACTATTTAATAGAAAGAAAAAGGCATTCAGTATCTTAAGTCCAGTGATGAATTCAAAGTTATGCCATTCATGAGACACATGACAATGAGTGTGCCGCTTCATCTTTCTTTGTCTATACAATGGGACTAATACTCCTATATAACAAGTGGTTTGTATGGACTCTAGAGCAACGTACCACAACAGCTAAGGATATTAAACCCCAGGGTCAGACTTCAGTTTGAATCATGATTCAGCCTCTCACTAGTTGTTTTACAAGGGGTAAGTTACATATGAGCTGGTGATCATAACACCACCTACCATATAGCATTTTTATAAGAACGAAGATTTTATAAAGTGTTAAGAACAGTGCTCACTATGGTTTATTGAAAATATTTTATATAAATGAAATTGTTTTAGATACATAAAAATGCTTTGTTGTTATTGGCTATTATTGCTATTTTTATGGCTATTACCTTGAATTTCATGGTAATCCAAGCTGATTTTCCTTAAATAAGACACTGCAGTTAAATCAAATGTTCTCACTGTAGCCTCTGTTCCTAACTGAGTAACATTAAATACTAGAATTGTGTCTTCTTCTTTCTGTTGTTTAGTAAATTCCAAAATCACCTAAAAGAATTAACACAATCAATGAAAAGTTGATAAAGTTGACTCATCCTTAAAATAACAAAAACAAAATTCTCCTCCATATATATCAACGTGAGTGAGAACTTGGCCCATATCACTGTACTACCATAAAGTAATGTACTATGATTGGAGAATATCATCTTAAATTCTATTGTCAAGAATATAAGTATATGAATAAAAGAGTGTAATTTAGCATTCAATTCTGATTTTTTAATTTAGAAAAATAAGTATTTATGGATTCTTCATATGGTTTTTTTAAGATACAAAACATATCTGATAATAGCAGAAACATTTCCATTAAAGTAAAAACCAAGAATGGTCACCATCATCCTCCTACTTAAATTAACCCTGGAAATAAAAACCAGTAAGTTTAGCCAAACAAAAACAAGACAAAACAAAATGAAACATGTGACAAATCAAAAACCATTGGTCTTTATCCCCACCATCTGAATGTAGGTAGGCTATGAATGCTTCAATCAATAGAGTACAAAAGAAGTGGTACTATGATGAATTCTGATGGCAAAATGGGTCTGTAAAACTCCCACCTAGGTATGCTCTCTCTGTTGAATGCTCATTGCCACGTAAAAAGTTCAACTACCCTGAGATGATCATGCTATGGAGGCCACGTGTAGGTGTTTCAGTCAATAACTTCACAATCCCACAGTCAGCAGCCAGTATTGACTGCCAGCCTTACAAAGCTACCACCATGGACATTCCGCCTAAGCCTGCACATGACTGCCACCCATGTACACAAAATTACTCAGATGGGCCCTTCTAGATTCCCAAGTCCACAAATTGTGAGCAAACTAATGCTAAGTATTAGAGTACTTGATAGGCAGCAATAGTAGTCAGAATAGTATGAATACTGAAAAAAGGCAAAAATTAATGCTACTGACCAATGACATAATTAGATACTTAAGGAAAACCAGGAGTATCAACTGAAGAACAAGGTAACAAAGATAGTATAGTAAGATATTAAATACAAAATTAATATAAAAAAAGCTTCACATAAATTAACAATTTAAATTATAGCAATGAAATCATAAATTAACAAGGAAATGTTTTGTGAGGAGGATTTTCTAAACATACGTTAAAACTACAACATAAAGAAATTTTGATAAATTCCTCTATAAAAACATTTAAAACTTCAAAACAGTTAAAAAATCCACACAGGGAAAATATTTCGATGATTTTTTTTTCCTTCAATACTTCTGTTTTTCATTTTAGTTCATTCATTCAATATTCAGTAAAATGTTTCTTAAGTATCACCTACCATATTATGAGGTCTGCCAGCCACTAAGGATACCACGATGAACGGTCATGGTCTCTGTGCTCATGAAGCACACATTCTTGGAAGAGTTGGGGAAAGGGAACCTTGCTATCTTGTGTTAGATGGTCAGTTCTTTCAATAAGAAGACATTTGAGCAATTGCCTCAGGGAAGTAAAGAACTGAGCCATGCAGAATAAGTGTGTCCCAGGCAAAGAAAAAGGCAAGCACAAAAAATGTGCTTTGGTCTACAAAACCAAGAACAAAAGACAAGTGCAAACTCCATGAGATAAGAACATTGCTCATTGCTTTTTTCCAGTATCGAAAACAGTGCCTGGCAGATAGCATAGCATGGCACTTAGTACATACTTATTGAAGGAACAAGTGAAATATGAGTAAAGCACAGTGAACAAGGCAGGAAAGAATTGAAGATGAAGCCAAATGGTCCTGTGCAGTGACTCACTTAAAACCTTGGAGATCACAGGAAGAACTGAGTCATTGCTCTGAGCAAGACATTAAACCAGGGGAAGGTTTTGAACAGAGTACTGTCATGATCTAATTTTCACTTTAAAATGATCACCCTGGCCACTGTATGGAGAAAACAGCATTTGATGGATGTTAAAGACAGATAAGATCTTAATGCAATGATCCAGGTAAGAGATGATGGTGACTTGAACAATACAGTAGCAGTGGAAGAAAAGAGTGATCACCTTAATACGTTTGGAAGGTAAGAACCAAGGGATCTGATATTGTGGGTCAAAGTATGAGAAAAGAGAGAAGTCAAAGAAGGATAAAGGTAGAAAGCACCTCTCTTTAAACAAATACCTGTAAAACCTAAATTTCTACACAAAATTCAAACCTGATATTTCTAACATTTTAGGACAGGCTATCACTTAGAGATAAAAGCATTCAATAAGGAACATCTCTGTATCTTTTGTGTTTTATTATCAATGTAATAAAAATTCATTATAGAAAATTTAGAATATATGGAAAAGCAAACAGGCAAAAATTAAAACCTGTAATCCCACCAACCCAGAGATGAACACTGTCATTTATCAAAGAACACAAATACATGTAATTATACCCTCAGTGTTGTAATCTTTTTATCCCAAATAATAATACATTGTAGGCATCTTTTGAGGTTTTCTTTGCCTACATGACTTGAAAAGCCTATAAAAAACATGTTAGAAATTTAGGTTGTTTATACTTTTCCAATTTATAAACATGACAATGAGCAATATTACTTAGCTCAAGGGCTGGCAAAGTGGCTTGAGTGGTAGAGTGCCTGCCTAACAGGCATGAGACTCTGAGTTCAATCCCCAGTGTCACAAGAAAAAAAAAAAAGGAAGTTAAAAAAGGTCACAGAAACTTTGAGTAGAAAAACAAATCCTAATTAAGAGTATTAACCTCTTTCAAAATAGATAGGATATGCGATCAATCATCCTTACCTCAGTCTTTTACAAATAATATTTCATTATTTTGAAACTGCAAGTATGTATACATGTACATGTGTTGTCCAGTAAGGAAGACAGAGTATCACGTTTTTAATACACTTGAAGTTTAGGTCTACCCTAACATCATGCAGAAGACAGTGTCAAGAATATATTTATGGACAAAACACACACATACTTCTTTAATCTCAAACTTGAGTAAAAAATTAATGAGCTCCTCATTGGGAACCTCTGCAGCTTTTTTCAGTTCTGACCCTTTGATGCTTTTAGCCGTGTGTGAGTCTCCATCTTCAGCATCAAAATACTCTTCATCAGACTCTAAAGGAAAAAGACAATCATTTGAGAAAATACCACAGAAAACTTGCAAGAAACTAAAATTGATTAAATATAACCTTTATAACCAGAATTAAAATAGTTTCAATGCTTCTTTAAAGTTCCAAATTAACTCAACCTGGCATGTGACAATAAAATTTAAAATCCAATGGCACTACTATTTTCACTTCAATAATTATGAGGTGTTTTCTGCCTTAGTTCCTTCATTCAATATCTAGTAAAATATTTACTTAGCATCATCTACCACATATTAAGATGTGTCAGCCACTAAGAACACCACAGTGGCCAAGTCTTGTCCCTTGGTCTTGTTTTACATAGCTTGCCTTATAGTTTGCAATTTTAAGAGACCAGTTAGGCCAAGATAGAGGAAAGGTTCACATAGAAATAGGAGCAAAAAAGTAGCTCATTGAGAATCTTAAGCACTGTCAACCCAAAAAAAGAAAGAAAAAAAAAATCTTTATCCACTGAAGAAACTTCATTCTATGAAGCCAGTATTACACTCCTCCCAAAACCAGACAAGGACATATCCAAAAGGGAGAATTACAGACAAATCTCCTTAATGAACATCAATGCAAAAATCCTCAATACAAAAATGGTAAACCAAATCCAACAACAGATCACAAAGATCATTCACCATGAGCAAGTCGGCTCTTTCCCAGGGATGCAGGCATGGTTCAACATACACAAATCAATAAATGTAATACTGCACATTAATAGAAGCAAAGACAAAAACTATATGATCATCTCAATAGATGGAGAAAAAGCCTTTGATAAGATTCAACACTACTTCATTATAAAAGCTCTAAGAAAACTAGGAATAGAAGGAATGTATCTCAATATTATAAAGACTATATATGACAAACCTATAGCCAACATCATACTTAATGGGGAAAAACTGAAACCATTTCCCCTAAAATCAGGAATGAGACAAGGGTGCCCACTCTCCCTACTCCTATTCAACATAGTACTGGAATTCCTAGCCAGAGCAATAAGGCAAGAAGAAATAAAAGGAATACAAATAGGTAAAGAAACAGTCAAAATATCCCTATTTCTACATGACATGATCCTATACCTCAGAGACCAAAAAAACTCCACCCAAAAGCTTCCAGGCACCATAAACATCTTCAGCAATCAGCAGGATATAAAATCAACTTACAAAACTCAGTAGTCTTTCTATATACCAACAATGAACAAACTCAGAAAGATTACAGAAAAACAATTCCATTTACAATAGCCTCAAAAAAAAAAATCAAATATCTAGGAGTAAACTTAACAAAGGATGTAATGACCTGTTCAAGGAGAACTACAAACCACTGAAGAAAGAGATTGAGGAAGACTACAGAAGATGGAAAGATCTCCCATGCTCATGGATTAGTAGAACCAACATAGTAAAAACAGCTATACTACCAAAAGCAATCTACATGTTCAATGTACTACCCATCAAAATTCCAATGACATTCATCACAGAGATTGAAAAATATATCTTAAAGTTCATTTGGAAACACAAGAGATCACAAAGAGCCAAGGCAATACTGAGCAAAAAGAACAATGCCGGAGGTATCACAATATCTGACTTTCAAACTATATTACAGAGCCATAGCAATAAAAACAGCATGGTACTGGCACAAAAACAGATATGAAGACCAGTGGAACAAAACAGAGGACCCCGATATGAATCCACACAGCTACGCCCACCTTAGTTTTGACAAAGAGGCCAAAAACATACGATGGAGAAAAGACAGCCTCTTCAACAAATGTTGCTGGGAAAAGTGGTTATCTACTTGCATAAAACTGAAACTAGATCCATGCCTGTCATCCTGTACTAGGATCAACTCAAAGTGGATTATGGACCTTAATATCAGACCCAAAACCTTGCAGCTAGTACATGAAAGAGCAGGAATACCCAGGAAACAATAGGTATAGGCAAGGACTTCCTCAGCAGAACTCCATCAGCCCAGCAACTAAGAGAAAGGATGGACAATGGGACTACATGAAATTAAAAGGCTTCTGCACAACAAAAGAAATGGTCTCTAAATTGAAGAGACTGCCCACAGAGTGGGAGAAAACATTTGCTAGCTATATATCAGACAAAGGACTGATAACCAGAATATACAGAGAGCTCAAAAAACTAAACTCCCAAAAAATCAATGAACCAATAAAGAAATGGGCAATTGAACAGAACTTTTTCAAAGGAAGAAATCCAAATGGCCAAAAAACACATGAAAAAATGCTCACCATCTCTGGCCATAAAGGAAATGCAAATCAAAACCTCACTAAGATTCCACCTCACCCTTGTTAAAAAGGCTATCATCAAGACCACCACCACCACCAAATGTTGGCAAGGACGTAGGGAAAAAGGAACCCTCATACACTGCTGGTAGGAATGTAAACAAGTACAACCACTTTGCAAAACATTATGGAGGCTCCTTAAAAAACTAAACATAGATCTGCCATGTGATCCATTAATACCATTCCTAGGAATATACCTGAATGAATGTGACTCAAGTTATTACAGAAGCACCTGAACACCCATGTTTATTGCAGAACTATTTACAACAGCCAAATTATGGAAACAGCCAAGATGCCCCTCAATCGATGTATGGATCAAGAAAATGTGGTATTTATACATGATGAAATTTTACTTAGCCAGAAAGAAGAACGAAAATTTGTCATTTGCAAGTAAATGTATGGAACTAGAGAACATCATCTTAAGTGAAGTTAGCCAGGCTCAGAAGGCCAAAAATTGTATGTTCTCCCTCATATGTGGATTATAGACACAAAACAATTGCAGTAATACTATTGTACACTGGTCATACACTAAGGGGAGAACACGCATAGGAGAAATAGGGAACAGAAAGGAAACCTAAAATTTGAATGTGATTGATGTACTCCCGGTTGAGGAGCAAATAAAGTAATCTAAAACTGGCAGAGGCCACAATGGGAAGGGGACTAGGAAGCAGTGAAGACTTGGTAGAAATGAACCAATGTGGGTTGTGATACACAAGTGCATGGAAGCACTAGGAATCTCTCTGCATAGCTATCTTCATCCCAAAATAGCAAAAACGGTATGTCTTTCTTACTATCTCTTATGTTTTCCCTTTAACAAAATCGTAGAAAAAGAGGGTAGAATAGATTCTTCAGGGATAAAGTGATGAGGGAGTGGGGGGGAGTGACACAAGCAATGTATACACATGTAAGTAAATGTAAAAATGGTAAAATAAAAGAGGAAAAAAAAGAGAAAATACTCAACACAAAAAGAAAATAAAAAATAAGTGACCTAGGGCTGGTGAAGTGTCTGAGTTCAAATCCCAGTACTTCCAAAAAAAAAAAAAAGTAACCTAGAGTCTCACTGACTCTAAAGCCAGAACCAGGAAGTTACTAGAACACTTTCAGAATTTCTTTATTTGCTGAAAATGGTAAATACTCAACACAAAAGAAAATAAAATAGTGACTAGGGCTGGTGAAGTGTCTGAGTTCAAATCCAGTACTTCCAAAAAAAAAAAAAAAGTAACCTAGAGTCTCACTGACTCTAAAGCCAGAACCAGGAAGTTACTAGAACACTTTCAGAATTTCTTTATTTGCTGAAAATGGTATCTCTATGTAATAATTTGTAGACCTGGTTTTAACGAAAAAATAATACTTTACATTCCTCACCTGATTCCACTCCATCTAGCAACAGAGAAGTACTGAGCAAACCTTTTGTCCCACCAAAAAGAACAGGAATTGAGGGCACCTAGCAAAGAATTAAAAAGGTTTTCTTAAAAAAAAATTTAGCAGGATTAAATATACATACATGAGACAGAATGAAACATAAGAGAGAATAAAGAGAGATACACACACCATACACACATCTTCCAACAGAACAAATTATGGCAGAGATAGGCTGAAATTCACAGTAATAAAGTTATCACCCACATATATAAAGATGCACATGTACATCTCTAGTAGGTAAGTCTATTCATCATTGTGTATCATTTAGTTGTGGTAAATAACAATATTAAAGAACATATTTATCACAGGTCCCTGGAAAAGAGTTATCACCATCAGCTGACTGTCAAAGTTCATTTCAAAGTAAATGAAAAATTCAGTATTTCTTTTATGCTATGATCTTTAGATCATTCCAACTGAAGTGACCTAGAACTTTTAAGCCTAACATATAAGGAAATTTTATATACCTATTATCTTATTTGCAAGTGTATTTTATTTTAAATATTCATATTCCTAGTTTTATATAAAGTACATTTTATAATTAAAAGCAATTTCCTTCCCTTTCTATACTTTGGGTCCTTCTGGTTAAAAAGCTTGCCCTAAACCAAACTTTCCACCACTACTCTACAATTGTCGCTTTCTGAAAAAGGAAATTTAGCATTTCTATTAGATCCAATTACCTGTCTCTCTGGAGGCAATGCAGGTGATTTTTGTGGCAAAGGTATACTATTGATCAAACACAGCACATCTTTCATCTTCTGGTCAGAAATTCTCACATGCATCAAAGGTAGTCCTCCTGATACTTTAAATCTAAAAATACAATACAACTGTAAAGATTCAAGTTCAGCTTCTCTGTATTATAGAGGGAGGAAGGGATTAGAAAAGAGACTACATTATAGTCAAATTTTTTCTAGACATGTTTTAATCCTATTACATCCATGCCTGACCTAGACAACACTGTCAAGGAATGGGAAGTTCTGTGTAAGCCAAATTTCCAGATAATTAAAATAAATCCTTCTTAAGTAGCTAATTTGGGGGGGTAGTTACTGAGGGTTGAACTCACGGCCTTGTACTTGAGACACTCTGCCAGCCCTAAACTAAAATTCTTCCAAACATAATTTTCTACTTTTTAAAACCTAAAACATTACGTATATTTTATTTTTCATACCTAAGACTTCTCATTATCAATATCAAAGAGCATCTACCTCATCACTATCTCCTTGTCTTGCTTTATTAACAGGGAGTGGGGGGGGGAGGGAGAGAGAGAACAGACAGACAGACAAACCACTTGGAAGCTTCTGACACTTGCTTATTCCATGTCTTCTCTGACTAAAGCATAAGCCATGAGGATATCTGTATTACTCTGAGTTATCAGCCTGCTTTCCTCAATCATTTTTGCTCTACTGGACTTCCTATTTAGCGTAAGTACCTTTCAACTGTTTGTATCAATAGCTTTGTGGCAGTATTGTTGTTCACAAAGATCTTTTGGGATCTCTTTGTACTCCTGTCTCATCTGTGAATCCTTCTAGATGGGTTATTGGGGTTCAGTAAAGCAGTATTTAGAAGATAAGTGACAGCACTAAATGCCTATATTAGAAAAAAAAAGAAAGGTCTTCATGAGCTCGCAGCTCATGCTTGCAATCCTACCTACTTAGGAAGATGAGATCAAGAGGATCGCAGTTCCAGCACAGCCTGGAAAAAAGGTAGATGTGGTGGCATGTACCTGTCATCCAAGCTATAGTGGGAGGCTTAAAATTAAAAAATCATGGTTCAGGCACGCCTGAGCATTTTAAAAGCAAGCTCTCTAAAACAACTAGAGCAAAAAAGGGCTAGAGGCACAGCACAAGTGGTAGAGTGCCTGCATAGTCAGTTCAAACTCCACTAATATAGACACACACAAAAAAATATTGAAAGTATGAAGAAGAAAACAATAATAAACTTCAGAGTGAAAATCAGGATGATAAAAAAACAGAAAGAAAATAACTGGAAAAAAAGCTAGTTCTTTCAGAAGGTCAACAAAACTAATAAACTTCTAGTCTGATTAGGAAAAAGAATGAAAAGACACAGATTACTAATATCAGGAATTCCAGAAATAATATCACTACAGGTTTCTAAAATATGATAAATAATTTTTGGCAATGAACTCAATATGGACAGACTGCTTGAAATATACAAAAAAATCACTCAAAACACTTGAAACACACAAAAGATTATTTTTTAAAAATGGATACTCTGAACTGACCTACAGAGAAAAAAACTGACATTAGTTACAAATCCTCTCAAAAAGAAAAATCCAGAGCCAGATGGTTTTACAAGTGAATTCCATTGAACACACAAGGAAATAATAACTCCAGCTCTGCTCAGTATTGTCCACAGCCAGAATCACTGATACCAAAACAAGAACAGACCAGTATCACCTATGAACATAGCTATAAAACTTCGTAACAAAATTTTCAAACACCAAGTGAGTTAACGCAAGGTTGGTTTAATAACCACCTGAGACATAAATGAATCTCAATTAATCATGATGAAAGAAGCCAAACGAAACACTTAAAATTCCCATCACACAAAATCCTAGAAAATTCTACCAAATCTGTAGTATCAAAAAACAAGGTGAGTGTAGTGGTTCACACCTATAAATCCTAGTTAATTGAGAAACATCAATTAGAGGACCACAGTTCAAGATCAGCTCAGGGAAAAAGTTTGCAAGATTTCATTTCCAACAATGAGGCTAGGTGTGGGACCATATGCCTGTCATCCCAGCTATGATGGAAGCAAAAACAGGAGAAGTGTGGTCCAAGCTGGAACTGAGCATAAACATGAGACCCTATCTGAAAAATACCTAAAGCAAAACAGGCTGAGGGCACAGCACAAATGGTAGAGCACCTGCCTAGCAAGTGCAATACCCTGACTTCAAACCCCAGCAGAGACAAGAAAAAAAAAACAGAACGAATACTTTGCAATTATTTAATTAAATACAAATTCAGGTTCTATTTTTTATTGCCTTGGATTTTCTTCAGACTTTTTATGTGATTTCATACCAAAAGAGCTTCTAACATTTTAAAGACTTTATTTCATTAATATTGAACCTTGAATTGCATCATTTCAAAATCACAGATCACTAATTATTATACAAATTCCAAAATAAAAGAGATTATCATTGGAGCTGGGTATGGCTCAAGTGGTATAGAGTCTGCCTAGCAAGCATGAAGTACTGAGTTCAAAGCCCTGAATTCAAAGCCCTGTATGGATCAAAAAAAAAAAGAAGTATCATTCAAAACATATTTTCTTAAAAAATACTTTTCTAAAGAGAGAATAATCATTAATTTTTATCTCCCACAAATATCTATCTTTGCTTCCTTAAGTATCAGTAGCTGATGCAGATATAGTTCACATTGTTCATTTCTAATATAATAGAAACTTATACCTCACCTGGCCATTCTAACATCCTTTTCTACCATCGCCTTGGCCAACTCAACATGAATATCCATGGGTTGCAATATATGCATAGCTGATGGATGTTGAAATCGACACTTTTTCCAATTTTTCTCTACAAAAAATAATATGAGATATTAAATGACTTTTTAAAACCAGATACTCCATTCAAAACTACTCTATATTAATAGAAAACTTAATAGGCATATTCAATGAATACCAACTTTTATTTCTTTCAACATACAAGTACAATAATCTTTATTTTAATACAGACTGGCAGAAGTCAAACACTGTGATAAAAATAATTTTGGATAATGGAAATATTTATAGTGATAACAAAATGAATGGGGAAAAAGAAGGACTTTATCTCCTGGCTGATAGCCATGTGCAAACATATACACATGTATTACCAATGCTACTCAACTTAATTTGAACATCCTAAACGTTGAGAATTGTTTACCTGATCTTGCAAAGAGTAGCTGCACACTCTTTATTTCAACATCAAACCTGTCATATGCTTTATCTATTATTTCTTCCATAGATGAATTAGTAGTCTTCTGTAAACCTCGATCTTTACTGTTGAGCTAAAATGGAGGGGAAAAAGCTCAATTTTTTTCTGAACAAAAAAGTATATAAACATACTGTAGTTGCTTTTTATTAAAATCTAACTGAAGTGAGAAGATTATCCTTAATGAATACACAGTTTGCTGAATTTATTGGTAATAAATTGTCAAAGATGGGCAAACAAAAATGCATCTATACCTACCTGAAATGTACCAAAATCTAAAATGAGAAGATTTGAATTTTCATGGTGAAAACCTGTCTGCGGAATTACCAGATAAGAAGGCTTTAGGTTTATCCTTAAATCAAGGACTTTTCGAGTTTCAATAATATGTGTGAGTCCTAAAGAAGGTCAAAAAATAAAGAAAAAAGATTACGTAATCAAGGTGAAATACGTATCATACTATTAGCAACTAGACTAATAATTTGCTTGAAAAATATTAAGGAAGAGTACAAGTTCTTGTCACAAATTAAGTCTCAATTCAGCATATAATGTGAAAACTGCATAAAGTCACTGGAAAACAATCCTATCACAGCAAACAGAATAAATCCAACATACAGATACTCTTTACATCAGAATAGACAACATGTTTAAAGTCTAGTTGGTGTTTATGTTAGACAATCAAATTCACCTGTAGCTGTTCTCTCTTTAATTTCTTCCAGCTTAGTCAATGTAGCTGATGTTATTTGCTCAAGATCCAACCCTTTGTTTGATCGAAAGAATTCAATCACTGCATTGATGGTTTTCTATAATGGAATTATAAAATATAAAAAGTTATACATAATTCTTTCTCCATTATAGATTTGAATAGTTCACCTCAATTCTGAACAACTGTGGCTTTGAACTGAGGAAGGAATGCAAAGGTATTTTGTCCTACTGCACCTCTCTGGGAGAGAGAACCCTTGAGAAAGGAACAGGCAAGTACACTTGCTGGAGGGGCAGCAGGCGTGTGCATATGATTACAGAAGCAGAGACACTCTATACTGACATGTGGAAGAAGCAACAGACATTACTTCTAGTTTGGGCCTCTGATTAGTCAGAACGCCACTTAACATTAAATGGATTCTGTCACACTTTGAGAAAATAAGAAGAGGAAAGCTGTTCACTGTTACCACATACAAAACTTGAATTAAAAAAATTAGATTGTACAAAATGGAAAAAGTTCTGGAGATGAGTTGTACAACTGTGTGACTATACTAAGCATCCTTGAATCATACTTAAAATTGTTCAAAATACTGTATATTTTGCCACAATATAAACAGTTTTTAAGTATTAGAAAATAAATGAATTCTGGATTCTTTACCTATTGTCTCCCACACATAACATGAATCCTGCTCTAAACTGTAAAGTAAAAACCAGTGAGGATGGGGCCCACATTCAACCAATACAATGAGTAGTGAGCTACACCCATCTTCCTGACTAACTGGGGTTGGAGTGAAGACAAGATAAATCAAAGGTAAAGCCATAGGTACAGAACTTGAGCCAGCATTTTCAGTAGCATCTAAATGCCCATGCTTTTTTCCCCCCATATGAACATATGAAATTCATTACTCCTAAGGCTTTTTCTGTTGGATCCAAACATTGAATGCAAAGGGAAAATACAACAAAAGGAACTGGAGAAGGAAGTCAGTGACCAAATTAGGAGTAGTTGATATGGTAAACATGGATCTCTTTTTGATGTATTAGAGTTCTAAGTTTTACATAAGCAGAGATAAACAAGCCTTATTGTAGAAAAATGTCTATACTACATGAAAAATAAAAATTAAACATGTACTGTGTTTGAAATAAGAAAAAATTGTTAGAAGAGTTACCTTTTAATGAATGCTAACTGTGAAAGAGGAAAAATAAGAAAATTACATGTCAGATATACAAATAATTTTAATAGAGTCATGTTCTCCTTGCACTTACAGCATCATAAATGACCTCCACAGGCTGAGACTGAACGATTAGAGTTTGGTCAGCAGGACTCTCCTCCGGATTGGTTTCAAACTCAATTTTAAATAAGGATGATGCAGTATCGCCAACTGAAGCTACAAGTGATGGTACAATATCTTGCTGCTTCAGACCTGTTATATACCAGTGTTCTAATTTTGCTTCTACTCTAAGATCCAATTAAGAAAAGGGAAGCAATAAGATCCTTTATAATGCAATGGGTTAAATTACAAATTTTCCTTTAAGAACTCCCTTGAGAGACAAACGTTTGCCCACTGCCTCAGCCTGGCATTCATTTACGCACATAATCTGCTTTTGTTGCTGCTGTTACTGTTGTTATTAACTTCTCATCAAGCCACATGAAAAACCCGTTTAGCCAAGCCCAGACCTACAGAAGTTCTGATCACTGCTGTGCGAAAGTCGTATGTCACAGATGAACACAATCTCCCTGTTTTCAGCAACACCTCCTCTGCCTCTACCTCCTCCCTACATTACCAGTGTGCTTTCCAATCACTACTTTAACCTTCTTCAAGCTCAGTTATTCCTCGCCACAACTGAAGCTGGCGTAGTACTGAGATTTTTAATGTCACAGCACCTACTCACTTGAGTTATGTAATATGCTACACAGTTCTTAAACTATTAACGTTTTGTATATCCTCTATGATCCTGCAGTGTGAACGCTTGAAAAAAAACTTACTGTACATATGCAACAGTTTTCAAATGGTAATGGAACTATAAAAATGTTATGATAAATGTGCAGGAAAGGAGAAGGGTGGAATAAATCCATGAATTTAATTTGTTCCATTATAAAACAAAACATAAAAGACTATCCTGGCATACACAAAGAAAAGGAATTAAAGAAGAGCTATTACTAACTCAGTTTTCAATGCTGAATAACATCCTACATTTTGGACCTAGAATTATAACTATACAAAACAAAAACTGAAATAATAAGTTTTTAAACTTACCTTAGAGCTTGCGCTCCTGGTCGCTGAGATATTTGGGTGCCCAGGCCAATTATCTGAATTTTTAATATTTCTGGAATATTTTTGTTTTCTCTGAGTGTGACAGAAGTGCTTACTAACTTCAGGGTCATTATGTGAGCAACATACTAAATAGGAAGGAAAAATGAAAAACTTTTAAAGTTTAAATAATTGCTTTAATAGTTTCTTCTTAATTGAATATGTTAAATTATACAGTGGTCCAACCAGGCACGTTGGTTCTGATATCCATATACTCACAATAAATGACCATTAGAAAATTCAATGAAATTGCCTATCCAAGTTCCTTTCTTTTAGTTTTGAAGGTAATAGTAAAAAGACAACAAAACATTTTATGGCAGAAAGATTCAATTCACCAGTTTTCACTTAAGCAAACTAAGTATTTCTGATCAACCTGAGGAAAAAGAAAAACACTATGAAGAATATCTATTTAGAGAGTTAACAACACACAAATTTTAAAATTGCCGAGTCAAGACTGGAGGAAGGATAGAGAAACACCAGGGAAATGACTCTGGAAATTGGGGATGTGTTTCACCTGGAGGCATTTAAAAATTTAAGAGGAGGCAGCTCAGAGCCTGTGAAATGAGGCTCACATGATAGAAATTGGAAACTGCTCCCACCAAAGAATAGGGGTCCCTCTCTTCTGGCTAGGACCCTAAGGACTACCTCCTGGAAAGAATGTGAGCTAGAAGCAGGCACAGCATCAAATTATTTCAGTCCCTAAAAGATTATTTGATTCCACCTGCTGGTAGCTACACACACCAGGAAGAAACAAGTTTGTCCTGGAATCAAAAAAAAAAAAACCCATCTATTCTAGAGACATTATTTCCACATTTCTTAAAAAGAAAAACAACAAGTCCATTATTTACAAAACAATCTCCAGTACACGTACGATGTACTCACATACATACACATAAGTATACTCATAGGATTCAAGACATTAAGAGCAGAAACAACAAACTAATAACTAATGATTATCACAGTCAAACTACAGAAACCTAAAGTAAAGAAATTACCTTAAAGACACACAACGGGCAGAGATGATTAGAAACGACCTTCATAGTGACAAAGTAAAACTGACAACTGAATACACAAGAAAAACAATGTAGGCCAAACATCAACACACTTATATACTCCAAACTTTGAAAACAAATTATTAGCAACCTAGAATTCTAAACACAGGGGGAAAAGTATCCAACAAGAAAGAATGGAAAATAGAGATATTTCCAGAAAAACAAAAATTACAAAGACTAATTACAAGTATGCCATCATTAAAGAAAAAGATAAAATGAACATTCTTCAGGCACAAGAGAAATAATTACAGATTGATTGTCAGAAAGACAGAAAGGAATTAAGTGACTGGAATATTACTATTGCTAAAATTACTATTCTCCCAAAAATAATCTCCAGATTCAATGTAATTTAATGGAACTGTGGCAGGTACTTTTTGAAAACACTGGCAAAATGATTTTAACAGTATATGTAAGTTCAAATGATCTAAAAAGTCAAAGCACCCTTAAAAAAAGAAAGAAAGAAAGAAAGAAAGAAAGAAAACTAAGGCCTGGATCTCCAGGCCTCAGCTCAGTGACAGAGCACTTATCTAACATGCACAATGCCCTGGGTTCGATTCCTGGCACCACAAAAAAAAAAAGAGAAAGAAAATTAAGTTGACGGTCTTACTTTGAATGGCTAATAATCAGATAGGGTTAAGGGGAACATTAGTATAAGCATAGAGAAGAGTTCAATTACAAAGAATCCCACACTATACCTACACATATGGAGTGAAATTATTTCCAAGCAAGGGGCTAATGCAATTCAACAAGAAAAACAAAAAAACCTTACAAACAAAGTTCAAAGAATTGAATGGGCATAAGGAAAAAATAAACCTTGACCTCCATTAGTTACTTAAAAGTAATTTACCTCAACTCAAAAATACAATAAAAATGAATCAAAATGCCTCTTAAACCACTCAAATAATTACCTGCTTGGGTAAAGTTAAGTTGTAAGTGCTTTCACTATAACCAATAGCAGTGAAGAGTTTATCTTTTTCCTCTGGAGTCATAAAATCATCAATAGCTATAAAGAAAAGGCAATAGTTTAAGAAATTAATTTCTTCAGTTTTACAGATACGACAGAAAAGTCAAACCAAAATAAACAGCACCCTAAATCAATACACACAAATGCTAAAATAAAGTCCACCAGGGAATTTCCTCTAATATAATAAAAGCAAGCACCCTATATTTGCCTGTTTACTATGAAGGAAATTCAATATACACATAAGGATTTTTAAATTCCCTACGGATTATAAAACTTAACTGTCATTAAATATCCATATAAAAGTTAATAATAAGAAATGCTAGATGATGAGAACATTTCGAATTTTGTACAAAAGAATTTTTCTCAAAAAATAGTTTTTTGTTAGATAAACATAGGAATGTATCTTATGTCTTACACATGCTTACATCTGAGCAAGCTAAGATTTTTCTTAGCCTTTTTCTTATCAACATACAACAAATTACCTGACTTGGTACTTACTTTCAGGAATCAATGATTCTTCATCTTTTTTCTTAGACTCCTTCTTTCCCCAAAACCCACTAAACCAACTTCCACGTTTCTCTTCTGTGTCAGCAGACTTTTTCTTTAATTTTTGTCCAGACCGAATCACCTAAAAAAAATTTTAAAGTGAAAAATTGCTTCAAGACTAAGTACTGTGTTCATTTCCAGGTGAGACATGATCAGTTTTTTGTTTTTTTCATTTTTTTTTAAATCGCTGATCAGAGTGAAACACACAAAGGAGCCAATTCCTTCTTAAATGATGGTCACGATATGATTTGGTGAATGTAACCTGGTTAATTTACATTCTACACCTACTGATAGCATTTCAGTAGGCTGCATTTTATCAGCAATGCACTTAAGGTTTCAAGCAAAATTTTTCTGAGCACTGTGACTCAGGATTTTAAGAAACCACTATAACTTCAGGTTAACAGAATGAAAAGATCCAAAAAAGGAAGAACACAATTAAAAATACTAATTTCAAACAATGACAAAGTATGTGAACAAAATCAACAAATAAAAATATTTTAAAGCTTTTCGGTATGTTGACAACTACCACTAAGAATTACTGTTTGAAAATATGACACCTGTCATAAACTATACACTGACATGTTACCAATGTCAAATTCTTGGTTTTTACCTGATAGTAAAATGATGTAAGATGTAATCTCTGGGGAAAGAGGGTGAGGGATACACAGGACTTCTATGAAGTATCTTTGCTACTTTCTATGAAACGGTAATTATTTCAAAGTAAAAATATATTTCACATATGTATGACCAAAACTACATTAAAATACACATATAAAGCAATAGGAATGAGGAGCTAATAGAGTAACCTTAAAACGACAGAGGTCAATATGGGAAGGTGACCAAGAAGTAGTGAAAAGGTCAGGTAGAGATGAATCAATTCGGGTTGTAATACACCTTGCATGGAAGCAACGCTAGGAATCTCTCTGTATAGCAATCATTATCTCAACTAGCAAAAATGCTTTGTCTTTCTTATTATTGCTTATGTCTTTTCTTCAACAAAACTGGAGAAAAGGGCAGAACAGGTTCTACCTGGAAACGAGGAGGGTCAGGGGAAGAGAAAGGGGTGGGAGGTGGGGGGAGAAATGGTCCAAACAATTATGCACATATGAATAAAGAAAAAATAAAATCAGAAAAAAATAAAAATAAAACAATAGGAAGATGGATGAAGAACCCTTTCATCACTTTTTTCCCAAATACTCCTCTGCTGCCTGCACTTCCTTCCCTGACCAGCTTAGAGCCCAGGACAAATATTTTGAGTCGTCAGTCTGTATTTTAAACTTCTCTAGACCTATGCACTGTCCATCACAATGAACAAATGTGATGCTCTGAGAAATGTAATTGCTTTCTCCTCTCCTACATCCATGCCTGATTGCCTACTTTGTCCAATAATTAATCCTCCTTCAATGTTTAAGCAACTGTAACTGGTTTTAAGAACACAGAATTAAACTGAAGCTACTTAAAAGAGGATTAAAACCATTTTTTCTCCAGTAACTCATTTGTTTCATGAGAACAATCCAAACAGCAGTAGCAAACATCTTTAAAAATATTCACATGCTTGAATACAACTGTACTTGATGAATTTGTCCTTATGCAAGTAACAAATGTTTCAGAAAATGTATAGCAAAGGCTATTTATTGTAATGTCACATACTTAAATATAACAGTGAAAAATAGTGACATAAATTCTGGTATGTTCACAGAATGGAATACTATTCAGCCATTTAAAATGATGTCATAAAATAAATATGCTGACATTGGAAATGGAACACTGAAATATTTTTTTAAACAGGAAGAAAAGCAAGTTGCAGACCATCTCAGTCCCCATTCCCCACCAGTTCCACTCCATTTATCTGCTCCCCTTACAGTCTCCACTTTCTAATTTTCCATTCTCTCTAATTACTATCATGTTTCTGCCCACTACTCGATTAAAATTACTCTTCATTACTAAGTCCACTCATAGATAATGTTTCCATTCCATACTGACGTAAGTCTTCTTTAGTCCTTCCTTTCTACTGATTACAAATAAAACTTCTGGACAAAATACAAAGTATTTACCTGAAACTCTGAAAAGTGGGTAAAGCAGAGATGGTGGAAAGGAATAAAAACTGGAGAAGTAATCTGCACAGGAATAAGTTTCTTATGTCTTTAGTTTTTCTCACATGGTGTGCCCTATGATCTCCCACTCCTTCCCTTCAGTCTTGACCTATGATTTCTTTAACCAACAAAACGTGGCATAGGTAATGAGCTACATTTTCTTTAACCAACAAAACGTGGCATAGGTAATGAGCTACATTTTATTAAGTGGGTAAGTTTGCAGCAGTTCTCTTGATAGACTCTCTTCTTCCCTATGAACAAGCAAACTGCCATGTCATGGGCAGTCTATGCAGGGAGGCCCAAAGGAAAGGAACAAAAGATGATACATTAAGAGTTGACGTAGCCTCTAGCCAACAAAACACTGGTCTTCCATCCCAAAGCCACAAGGAGCTAACTTCTACAAAAGCAATTGGAGCCTCTGTCAGCCATGCTTCGGAGAGTATGATGGTCCCAGCCAACATCTTGCAATAGCTGAGACTTGTAAGCAGAAGGCTCAGATCTGCAGAAACTCTCAGGTAACAAGTGTATTGTTGTAAGCCTTAAGTTTCCTACATGGCCATAGAAAAGTACCACACCATGGGAGAATACAGGAGCATATGAAGGATAGCTGTGCAAGGAGCTAAAACCCTGAGAAAAACTCTATTTGTGGCCAATGAAGCAGAGGGCATAGGAAGAAATCCCAAAGGGAAAAGACCAGAGGTGGGGAATCTCTCCATTCTGTGTAGGAAGTTATCCAAATCTCTGGTTAACTCAAAACCCGCATCTATGAAACTGACTCAAACCAAAGCTGCTAAGATTCAGAGACCTGAACTGAAAGACAAACCATCTGTACAAGTCTCCAACTAAGCCCTATAAAATTCATGTGCAGAACAGATCCAAAGCTACAAAAGAGATTTGGGACTGAATTGAGACTTGAACCATCCACACAAGGCAAAACACAACTCAGGATCAGAATCTAAACAGGCTGTGTACTAACACAAAACACGAAAAATATCTAGAGGATTATATAATAGGACCCAGAGACTAAATACTCTAAAACAGTTGTAATGTCAAGAATATAATCCAAAATTATTTAACACAGAAAGATGAAAACAAATTTTTAAAAATGAGGAAAAATATTACTGATTTTCATGGAAAAGAATATCAACAATAGCCAACAATGAGCCACTTTTAAGTGTATTATGTGAGGCAAGGGAAAAACACATGTGAATTTGCTAAAAAATTGGAATTTTAACAAAGAAATGCAAACTATAAAAAAAAGAAGAGTTCAAGATGAATTGTGACTTGAAAACTACAGAGTAAAGAGTGACCCAGAGGATGTATCAACAGAAATTACCGAACCTAAAAAGCATAGAGATGAAAGACCGGGGAATAAAAAAATGAATAGGGTTCAGTGACCTATGGCACAATATCAGAAGGTCTAATAAATATGTATGTCATATATAATATTTAATTAATATAAATATAAATAGATATGCAAATATAACTTACAGATGGTATTTTCACCCGTCTTCATAAAAATAATGCACCTATTATAGATATATGTATAGATACATTACATACATATTTAATTGCAGTATATGTATATATCAAGAATGTGTATATGAATATTATATATATGTGTGTGTGTGTGAGTGTGTGAGAGTGTGTGAGAAATTAAGAGTCTAAGAAGGAGAGAAGAAAGAAAAAGAAATTAAGACCAAAAAATTATTTGAAAAACTAATGCCTGAAAACATCCCAAATTTGGTAATGTTCAATTCACAGTCCAAGCTCAGTTACCAAACAGGTGTATGTGTTACAGGTGATCACCTCTTCTTGAAATTCTTTCTCCAAAGGTATTCATACAGCGTCCCTCCATCATCTCTGGCAATCCCTTGTATGGCCACCTTTGCTGGAACTTTCCCATATATCTGACCGTGACAATTGAATGCTTTAGACTTTGAAACGCTCTTCTTCTCTAGCTATTTCTAATTCATTCAGTGATTTCATCCAATTTCATGCCTATAAATGACATCTAAGGGTTGACCATTCCTAAATGTGCACAAACAACACAGACGTCTCTTCTGAACTCCACATTCACTCTTGCATATCCAACTGTCTATGGAACTCCTGATCTTCTCCTACCTCATCAAGCCTGCTCCATCCATTTCCATCACATTTAATGCAACTCTATCCTTCTAATTGCTCTAGGCCAAAAATCCTCCAAAGGCTCTTTGACTCTCTCTTACATCTAACCAGTTAGCAAATACTGGCTCTACCTTCAAAATATATCCAGATCTGACCCTTTTTCATCACCTCCATTGCATTCATTCTGTCAATAGCCTCCTTCCTCAATTATTTCAATAGGATCGTAACTTATCTCTCTATTCTCACCTTTGCTCTCCCTTTTACAGTCTTTCAAACAGTTGTAATGAGTTTTAAAACAAATCAAATCATATAATCCTGTTCTCCAATCCGATTAATGAACTATAAATACAAAATAAAAGCCAAAATCCACACCACAGCTTATAAGATACTACAAAATCTGGCAATCTCCCCAAATCCCACCAGCATCCCTCCCACAACTCTCTTCCTTATTCTCTGACCACACTGGCCACCCCCTCCCCTTTCACAATTCTTGTTAGTTCTCTAAATAAGTAAGATAAACTCTCAGCCCAAAACCTTTGAGCTAGTTACTTTATTCTTTCTGCGTGGTTAAACATTACCCTTACACAACTTTCTTGCTGACTCTCTTACCTTCTCAGATTTTGGTCAAATGTCTACTTCATAGTGAAGCTTTCATTGATCCCCCCCAGCATAAAACTGCAACCTTAATTATCATCACTGCCTCACCCCAGGACTCTCCTGCCTACTTTATTTTTAATTATGTATTATCCTTCTCTCCTACTACCAAATAATAACTGATCTTTGTCTTTTTTTCACTTCTGTATGTTAATACAAATGTTAATGATAAGAAGCAAAACATCACTTATTTAGTAATTACACATAA